AGTTCAGAGTATAAGATGCTACCCATGTAAGGTGTTAAAATATTTTAAAAACTTCAGATTTGAAACAGTTTAAGGTCCACCCTATATTATTGCATTTTGGGGCGGAAGAGTGGACTTGGCCCTGTTAATGCAACCTTCTCTAGAATCTGCATAATAAATACTAACTTTCTATATCATATAGTTTTCACGATCTCACCAGACTTTAAAATTAGTTACGTTTTAAAGCAAAGAAGAAGAAGAAGAAAGTTAGTAAATGTAATATAAATAGCTTATTACCAAGAAGAGGTATTTTCGAAATTTCTGTAGTTATCTTTTATCTTAAATATCAATTAAATTCATAAGGCAGAAATAAAAGCGACTTTTCCGGTACCATCGCTGCCTCGTTTGTAACCGCAGTCGGCCTGGAATCTGGAAGCTGGCCAAACCTAAGCTGCGGAAGGAGCCATCGTAAACTGAAACTGAAAAAGGATATCCGGCCCCCGTTGCCAACTACATTGTACTACAACTAATTACTGAGCCAGCCAAATAATAATAAATTTCGATACGCATTAAAATCGAATCAATCATTTACCGATCACGTCAAACAAGCCGGGTAAACAAAGTCACAGCATCATGGTCACCCTGCAGGACATTGTTGCGGGCTGCGGACTGGCGGTTATTTCATCCGGTTTATAGGTGGTCATAACATAAGAGCGAGAATGCCAAGTGGTTGCCATTTTCTCGAAAATATTGTAACAAACATAATCACCTGGAACCCTGCCGATTCGGCCACAAAACAGCTTAACTTGTCGAAGGAGGCGATGGGGCAAAAGGGGGTAGTGAAACCTCGCCATCTGCTTGAATAATTATGCTGCGGTATGTGGGAAAATGGGAAGGCCAAGGGAAGTTAGCATAATGAAAACAGCTGGCGACGCCTTCAAGGGTCAGGCTAAATGCAAATATCGCGTGTTTTCCTCCACATTTCACTTATCGCCTGCTGGTCCTTCGGATTCGGATTCTGATTCGGATTCGGGTATCTACATTTCGTGTTCTGTATTCCTCATTTCGAATTTGAATTTCGTATGGCCCTTGTTCAAGGGGAACACCACATATGCCCGGGCTGCATAAATTTGAGACGCACTTTCTGTGGCTGAAACCGAGGACACTGACATCTTCACGACGATATAAAACGAATTAGCATAGAAAACTGCAAATTTGAATTATGGCCTGCGGCAGTGGAAACGGCAGAAGTCACAACAGGAACGCAAGGAAAACCATCCAACCATACTTGGGTAGTATCGGAAGCCCGGGCTCCAAGAGCAGCTGTCCCACTCGCCCCAGCTAAAGTGACAAAACGTATGCAACGCGATATAAAAGTAGACGATGGAACTCTGTGACTGTGGTATGAAGCGAGTCAGAGCGACTCTTGCCATGGCCATGCATGGCCAGGACATTTTAACATCCGAGGTGGCCAGCTGGAGCATATGTTTTCCCGAAATACTTCTTAAAATTTTCTTTCTAGCAAAAGTTAATACAACTTAATGCCTTACATGTACCTTAAAAAGACAAGAAAGAGCAGTGATTATCCTAGGATATGCATTAGCGAATTCATAAATGTTGGCTTCAACATATTGATTACAAACAAGAGGAAACGCTATAGTCGAGTGCCGCGACTATAAGATACCCGTTACTGTTTTACAAAATTTTAAAATATTATTTTGCTAGTGGAAATTCACAAGGCGCCACCTATTGTCAGAGGAAGTATGTTGAGTATGCTTATAGTGACGTCACTGCCCATGCAAGGCCTTATAACCTTAATTTCTTTATAAATAGCGAAATAATGTTCCGATTTGAAAAATCTTTGGTAAATCGATAGATATTAACAGAAATAAGTTATACAAGGTCAAACGAAGGCATTCATAATAATATTATAGACGCCACAGTTTGCCGCGGTTTGTGGGCGTTAGAGTGGGCGTGGCAGGATGCTGCGTAGGGACCTCAAGAATCATCATGGTTAATCTCAATTTTATATCTCTTATAGTTCCAGAGATCTCAGCGTTCATACGAACAGACGGACAGACGGACGGACATGGCTCATTCGTCTTCGCTATTCATCCTGATCAAGAATATATATACTTTATAGGGTCGGAAACGCTTCCTTACATACTTTTCAACGAATCTGGTATACCCTTTTACTCTACGAGTAACGGGTATAAAAAGAGCAGGTTCTTTAATGAATAAGCTACTCTAAAAGACGTAACCAATTGAGTGAGCCAGCCAAAGAAGGCTCCCACCCCGCCTATTGTTTGCATAAGTCAGCGAGCTCCCTTTGGGGAGCCGGGAGACTCAGAGTAGGAAGCAAGAGCTTTTCCTTCTTCCAATCGGCACGTGCATATTCACATGCTTGGCATTGAACCCTGACCACTGGCACGGCCACATGTAGGAGATACACATTCTCCGCACTCTAGACATTGCGACTAATAGATCCTTGTTTGACGAAAAGTTTAAGGCACCCACTTCGCCTTGTTTGCTCCCTGCTCCTTGGCAAATACGTAATCAGTGAAATGCTCATGCTCATTTTTCTACCTTTTCCTTCCCTCGCTCCGAGTTTACAAATAAACGACGCTCCCCCAAATACTTGAAATACGTTGCTCAATTTCCATAAACACGTGAGCAAATAGCACGTGTGCCCATGGGACAGGAATCGCGTGAAATCACAGTTCTTCAAAACACTCTCACGAAATCATGGACAAGTTCATAATTTCAATTGGGATTATAGTTAAATATATTAAATATAAAAATAAAGTACTTTAAAAGTATTTTTAAGGGTAAATATATGTTCTCGAATATCTTCATTTATTATTTGTGATTTTTTTAAAACTTCATAACAGTTCTTGAGTTCAATTCTAGTCTGATTCCTCAGGCACACACCGAACGATACTAAGACGAATGCCCGCCAGGTTTCCTCTACGGCATTTGTTAACTATTGCAAACATTTGCTTGCGTACATATGTGGCACTCACTTTGGCAGCACCACCATGAAAACTTGCAGTAGCCCGCCCTGCCACCGCCCCCTCCTGAAAGCGGCTGTATTTGAGTTTCGGCTCTGTAAAATGCGCCTCAAATTGATTTTATTTATATTTCAAAGGAAAAACTTTTGTGCAGCTGTTGAGCTTGTTGTATATCTTATGTTTTCCACTTTATTTTTGTTGGCCTAGTTTGCAGCTGCGACAAACTTACAAATACGACCCGTCAATATTTCATTAGAGGGTCCTCTTACGGTGCTTTGAATTCGAACTTCAAGGCAAAGGAAGGAACAAACAATTTACGGGTGCGGCCTAATCGCAAATGGCCCAGAATCATCGTTTACTATTGCCGCCGTGGCAGCCGGTAACCAGCCAGTAAATCGATTTATGATTCTATTTTTTATCAAGAATTTAAATGTTAAGGCAAACAAGAAGAGCCGCTACATTCAATGCTAAAGTCAGCATACCACCATCATATGGCGCCATGTAGAATTTAAATAGCGACGCTACTTTGCTAGAAAAACCTCGTAACCTAACTTTATCATAATAATCTTTTTTGCAATTTTACATAATTTTTCCAAATATCTAGCACTGATAACGTGGACGCCAGAGACTTTCTCGGCTTGTTGGCGGGGCAAGATTAAATGCACATGCAAAGAAGAAGAAGATAAAACAAGAAGAAACGCTTTAGTCGAGTGCCGCGACTATAAGATACCCGTTACTGTTTTATGCAATTTTGAAATATTCATTTTGCCAACTGAAATTCCCAAAGCACCACCTATTGTCGGAGAAAGCATCTTGAGTAACTGATAGTGACGTGACTGCCCATGGCCTTATAACCTAAATTTCTTTATAAATAGCGAAATAATGTTCCGATTTCAAAAATCTTTGGTAAATCGATAGATATTGACAAAAAAAATGTTATACAAGGTCAAACGAAGACATTCATAATAATATTATGGACGCGTGGGCGTGGCTGTATGACAACTCGTCGCAAGTTGCAGTGGCATCTCTTGAATACGCATTCTAAAGCCTAACTTTCTAGCTCTTATAGGTCCCAAGATTTTAATTTTTGGTTTTCTGGGTTTTCTGGGCGTTAGGGTGGGCGTGGCCAGATGGTAAAAAAACAATTCGCATTTGGGGCATAATAAAAACCTAAAATCAGCGATTTTAGTTTTCCCTGATTTGTGTGCGTTAGAGTGGGCGTGGCAGGATGCGGACTTGCGCTGCGTATGGACTTCAAGAATCTTCATGTTTAATCTCAACTTCCTATATCTTATAGTTCCTGAGATCTCAGCGTTCATACGGACAGACAGACGGACATGACTCAATCGTCATTGCTATTGATCCTGATCAAGAATATATTTACTTTATAGGGTCGGAAACGCTTCCATCTACCTGTTATTGCTACATACATACTTTTCAACGAATCTAGTTTACCCTTTTAATCTACGAGTAACGGGTATAAAAATCGTCTAACTAGGCCGAACGTCTACGAATGAATTGCGGTCTGTATTGATTCGTAATTGGATCGTTTCAATCTGCGGTCTGTCGGTTATGCAAAGAGTAATCGCGTCAATACACTTAGAAAAAACTACATTAAATGTACTGAAAGAATAATGTAAAAATATATTTGAATATTTCTGCCAAATTCCCGATGTAACTGCTCGTATGTCCTCGAAATATTTATCGAATTTACCAAATTACCCCCTAAAGATAAAAGTAAAGTATTTCTCATATAATTAGGTGAAAGTTTGGGCTTAAGAGCTTACTTTAAGAACTCATTAAGTTAAAAGTTCTTGTTTACTTTGTATAATAATCTCCGCTAATCCGCACATTTTCGGAATAATTTATAAACTAAAAAAAAGAAATGAATAAAAATATATTTTTAAGTGGATTTTTGCGGCTCTGTATAGAAACAGAGGATGGACCACCATCACCCGAAGCTTTAAATTGAAGGATAGACCTCAGAGAGATTCCATTAGATGTTAAGTCGTCACCATGGAACGTTGGCAGAACTGCGTGGCTGCAGTGACCGGCGCCAGCTCGGGAATCGGGGCGGAAATCGTTCGAAAACTCATCTCCGCCGGTGTGGTGGTGGTTGCCCTGGCCCGTCGCCTGGACCGTCTGGAGCAACTGCGTCAGGAAGTGCCGGAGTGCCGGCGACCGCTCCTGCATGTTCGCCAGTGTGATGTCACAGACTTGGTGTCCGTGAACGCCGCCTTTGATGCAGTGCAGCAGGATCTGGGTGGAGTGGATATACTGATCAACAACGCAGGAAAGCTGTCCGGCGGTCAACTATTGACCATGCCGCTGGACACTGTACAACAAGTACTGCAGACGAACGTGATGGGCGTAGTGTACTGCACGCAGCGAGCCTTCGAATCGATGAGTCAACGCCATTCCCCCGCCCATATTGTCCTCATCAACAGCATTGTGGGCCACTACATCTTCAACCCGCTGCCTGGAAGCCAGCAGGAGCTCAATATGTACCCAGCCACCAAGCACGCAGTCACTGCCCTCACTGAGCTCTTCCGCCAGGAGTTGCGCGAGTTCAAGACCCAGATTAAAGTTACAGTGAGTAAATGTAGAAATTTAAGTTTATTAAGGCAAACAATTTCTTAAAGGATCTTAATCGTATGACTAATTTTCGAATCATTTTTATTTTGTCTGTATCTATCAGATGATTAGTTACCAAGTTATTGAGCATTTGTCTTGTAAGGCACTGACAGTTAATTGATAAACTTAATGGTATAGATAGCCCCATGAATTTCGTAAATGCCGTCATATTTGGTTTCATTTAAGTTGTGCTCAACATAGCTTTGCTCGCATGTATTCGTAAATGCCGTCAAAATCTATTTGCGTACTGATTTAAAACCGCAAGACTAGCTTAAACTGCAATTAAAACTGTCGGTAGTACTAAATCAAAATCAATTTTATGTCTCTGGCTTCCGTGGCTTATGATTTATTACAGTATTTAAATGGATAATTTTATGGCATTGCCTTCGGCTTTATGGCTTGGCTATTTAATACTAAAGACTAAACTACTAAACTTTGACTAATTTACACTACCTAACAGAGCATCAGTCCGGGATTGGTGGACACGGAGCTGGTGCCTTTGGCCTACAAAAGGCTGCCCATGCTGCAGGCGGAGGATGTGGCCAATGCCATCATGTATGTCCTGGCCACGCCTCCGCACGTTCAGGTGCACGAGCTGACCATCAAGCCCATGGGCGAACCCTTCTAGGACACCGGAGCATCCTTCTACTATGGCCACTAAATATTTCATGGTATTCCATAACCTCGAACTGAATAATTCGTGGCATGCAGAGAAATAAATGAAATGGATAAAAAATAAATTTCATGAATTTTCAAATGGGTGGCCCATTTCTAAGTAATTGGGTAATTCCCAGAAGCTTTTAATATGTGTACATTTTTTATAAATTTTTCTATCAATTTATTATTATCATTTACATTATTATTATTGGTATAATTATTATTATAGTTTATTTATTTTATTAAAATATTACTGTCATAATACATATTTAGAGACAGCTTTATTAACTGATAGGTGTTTTGGCCAGGTTTTTATCGCTTATTTGATTTATTGATGTGGAAGTTTTGTAGGCCGTTTGCCAATTTAAAAAAGCGTTTATATTTGCTGCCTTACTCGGTAGGTTTTGATTGCCCCTTAGAATGTGCCGTAGACCCACTGCACTCAATTATTCAGCTCACGTGTGAACTGCGCACTGGGGCGGTCGGCTTTAAATATTTCAGTGGAAAGGCCAAGTTGGGCCAACGATTTCGGGTATATATAGTGGCTGTGTGGGCGCATCTCAGCCAGTTGAGCGAATAACTACTTGGGAGAGGGGTCTCAGGAACAAACTTCTTGGAAACATAATACTCGTAGGGGAGCGGACTAGTGATCGGGAAACTGAGATATGGAACGCTGGCAAGATCGCGTTGCTGTGGTCACGGGAGCCAGTTCTGGCATCGGAGCCGCCGTGGCCAGGCAGCTGGTAAGTTCTGGCGTTATTGTTGTAGGTCTGGCCAGGCGTGTGGATCGAATGGAGGCCATCAAGGAGCAACTGCCTTCGGAATTACACTCCCGACTGCATGCCATCCACTGTGATGTCGGGGACCTAGACTCGATAACGGCCGCCTTCGACTGGATCGAAGATCAGCTTGGCGGCTGTGACATCCTGGTGAACAATGCCGGTTGCCTTTTCCCCGGGCAACTGCTGACCCTGGAGATGGAGCACCTTCAGAAGGTTTTGAACGTTAACCTAATGGGCGTGCTCCACTGCACCCGCCGCGCCTTTAGATCGATGCAGCTGCGTGAGGTGGCTGGTCATGTTGTGCTCATCAACAGTCTTACTGGGCGCCACATCATCTACCCACCCGGCGAGGAGCTGCAGGTGCTGAACATGTATCCGCTGACCAAGCACGGGATTACGGCCATGCTGGAGGTTTTGCGACAGGAGCTGCGCGGATTCAATACCAAGATCAAGATAACGGTGAGTGTAACTAAATCAGTATATAAATATTAAACAAGAGGAAACGCTATTGTCGAGTGCCGCGACTATAAGATACCCGTTACTGTTTTACACAATTTTAAAATATTCATTTTGCTAGTGGAAATTCACAAGACGCCACCTATTGTCGGAGGAAGCATGTTGAGTAATTGATAGTGACGTCACCTCCCATGTGAGGCCTTATAACCTAAATTTCTTCATAAGTAGCAAAATAATGTTCCGATTTGAAAAATCTTTGGTAAATCGATAGATATTAACAGAAATAAGTTATATAAGGTCAAACGAAGGCATTAATAATATTATTATAGACGCCACCGTTTTCCGCGGTTTGTGGGCGTTAGCTGCAGTGACGTCTCTTAAATACGTATTTAAAAGCGTAACTTTCTAGCTCTTTTAGTTCCTGAGATTTTTGCATTTTTGGTTTTTCGGGTTTTGTGTGCGTTAGGGTGGGCGTGGCTTGATCGGAAAAAAACAATTCGCATTTGGGGCATCATAAAGACCTACATGCTTAATCCTTTCTATCACTTATAGTTACCGAGATAAAAGGTTTTCTTAAAAAAGCGAAAATCGTCTTTTGAGCTTGGTGGGAGTATGGGTGGGTTGGCCGGATATTAGTACCACTAATGCGCTGGCATCCAAAGTTTATACATACTGAATTTCAACTTTCTAGCTCTAATAGTTCCCGAGATTTCAGAAATTTTAGTTTTTCGTGATTTGTGGGCGTTAGAGTGGGCTTGGCAGGATGCTGAAATAAACTTGCGCTGTCCCGGGACCCCAAGAATCTTCATGCTTAATCTCAACTTTGTATCTGCTATAGTTCTTGAGATCTCAGCGTTCATACGGACGGACGGACGGACGGACGGACAGACGGACATGGCTCAATCGACTTCGGAATTGATCCTGATCAAGGATATATATACTTTATAGGGTCGGAAACGCTTCCTTCTACCTGTTACATACTTTTCAACGAATCTAGTATACCCTTTTACTCTACGAGTAACGGGTATAAACATAAAAGCTAAAACTTACTTTTCTAATGTTTTAATCGATGATACTCTACCATACCAGATAAAACCGAGAAGTTATTATCTTATTATTTTTTTTAGAGCATCTCTCCAGGTGTGACCGACACGGAGATTCTGCCCTCCGGATATGATTCTTTGCCGATGCTAAGGCCAGATGACATCGCCGCGGGCATTATGTATGCCCTGGCCACGCCTCCTCATGTCCAGGTGCACGAGCTGACCATTAAGCCTCTGGGAGAGCCCTTTTAAAGCTAAAGAGCACTATATTATAATGAAGATATCGTCATTTTCAAATATAGCGTTGTCTGAAATTGCATTCTCTTTATTTGGAAATAACTGGCGATGGGCGGTTCGAAACCCTTGCGGAAGGAGTGAAGGGTGCCAAAAAATACAAAAAATGTTGTATTAGCATGACGTGCCCCAAAGCAACAATAAGGCATACGACAAGGATGTGGCTTATGTTCGTGGGGAGGAACGAAAACGGGAACAGGTGGCTCGTTCACATCCGCATCCGCATTTGCATCTGCAACATGGGCGCCCTCTGTCAATATTGAAGCGAACGCGCTTGACATAAAATGTAATATAGTCGCACCCTCACCTCCCCACCCACACACACACGCACACACAATGGTCGAAAGAGCGTCCGTGCCTGAAGTTGGAGTCTTAGTTAGTGCATATACCGCAACTGTCGCTTAATGCACCCAAAACAATTTTAGGAACAGCAGAACTTGCATTCGAAAACTTAAAAGTAAGCAAGAAATAGTTCTGGGCTGAGTCAAAAATGTGTATTTAATACAAAAAGGTTCGTACAGTTCGAGTGCCGAGAATATCAGATATCCTTTACTCTGTTTATCAGCTTAATTTTATCTGCCATCAGAACCATATAAGCCATGTTTATGAACTGGTAGTGACGCTACTGCCCATATCAGGCCCCAAAACTAGTGGATAAATTATGAAAGAGTGTTCCGATTGGATCCATGGCCATGGCTATTAATCCAGATCATGTAAAAGCATATTTTTGCCCAGCATGACCAGCTCATATTATTTATTCTGTGAGTGTAATTAACAGCTACCAACATAACATGGTCTACATGGTCTTGCTCCACGAGTACGGGAAAAAGTTTATAATAACTAAATAATGTTATTGCTTATAATTTCGTTTCCACTTTGTAAAACCAATTTTAAGCTTAACTTTATTTACAATCTGGAGGAATTAAAAAAAGTATTTGGCTAATCAAGATCAATAAATGTAGTAATATATTTCGGTATCTGCATTTTGTTTCGAAAGAGTTTCATTTTTTTTCCGTGAACATTCGTCGCTACCTCCTCCACCTTGGGCTTAGCCGGAGTCAGACAACTTTTATGACTTGCTTGCAAATACGAGCTGCTTGAGCGGCGGGAGCAGCACCAACATCAACTATAACAGTAATGGCGGCCCTTATACTTATGGTAACAGCAGCAACAACAACAGCAACAACTACAGCAACTTCGAACTTCGTTCCGCGTCACTCGCGTCACGCCAAGTTGTCAATGTTGCAAATAGGAACACTATGTTGGCAAAGTTGCAAGTACACCAGAAAAAAAACCGTAACCTCAAATAAACCTACTTTAGAAAACTTTATAATATTATAGTGATGTACCCAACGACCAAGCCTATTTACTGCGAAATGTATTAAAATAATTAATTCCTTATTGTAAAGCAATGATAGATAATCAAATTATAATTAATATAATTTAAACATTTAAACAGTTAATAAACCCGACGTACGGATTCATCACATAATGTTGCAGATTTCATACCCGGAATCTTTGTAAAGTTTTTTTTCTTTAGGGGTATAGAACTTAAAATTTCAATAAAACAACGATGAATTATTCGATTGACATGAAATTTTTTCATTTGAAAGATAATCTTGTGGCATTACATTTTAAATATAATTTCTGGTTTTATCTGGCCGTCCAATTTTCGATGACTTTTTCCAACATTTGTGGCCGTATATCGGCCACATGGCGTGACTAACACGGCGAATGTTGTCTTCCAAATGGTCAAGCGTTTAGGCTTATCCAAATAGACCAATGACTTTACATAGCCCCACAGAAAGTAATCTAGCGGTGTTAAATCACAAGTGTGTGACATACACTTGTGGGATTCTTCACTCCAAATGCGCCAGTTTTGTTTGTTGACGTAGTGCGCGATACATATTCCGCACAGAACCATTATTTTGGAAATAAAAGGCGTGATGAATTCATGATCAATCGCCAAACCAAACTGAGAATAAAACACTTGACAGCTTTTAAAGTGGTCGCCATCTTGAACAGTAATGCCAACATTAAGTTCTATACCTCTAGAAACACCCTTTATTTACATAGAAATGGGAGGATGATACGTGTTCCGCCTACTTCGGAAACAGCAATCCTGTTTTTGCTCTAAGTGCACTGGTTATGACGCTGCTCTAGGTCCAATATTGCTGGTGCTAACTTGGCGAAGAAGAGGGGTCTCGGCATCTCGTTTACTTGTCTGTTTCACTGGCAGCATCATTGCACCGCTCCCTGGGGCTCCTTCGATAAATTCTACCAGGAATAGAGCCAATAATGTGGCGGCTCCTTTCTTCGGGCTTCAAATTCCCTAATGGACGACGACGATCCCCGCATAGCTTTTCCGTCCATTTTACTTGAGTTCAGCCAAATAAAATTCGGTAAATCGAGCCTAAAGTTTGGCAATATATGATACGTTCTTTATTTATTTCCTTTGATTTTGAGAATACCACAAAAAGCGGATTGCAATGGCAACTAAGATGGGGAAGCACCTACCCGCAAAAGAAATCAACGTGATTCAATTTGATGGTAACTGATTTACTAATGCCTTTAATTATACCGATTACTAGAAGAGTAAAAGGATATATTAGATTCGTTAAAAAGTATGCAACAGGCAAAATGAAGCGTTTCCGACCCTATAAAGTATATATATTCTTGATCAGGATACATAGGGAAGACGATTGAGCCATGTCCGTCCGTCTTTCCGAATGAACTCTGGAATCTCAGAACCTATAAGAGATACAAAGTTGAGATTAACCATGAAGATTCTTAAGGTACCTACGCAGCGAAAGTTTATTACAGCAACCCGCCACGCATCTTATAGTGGTACTATTATTCGGCCACACCCACCCATACGCCCAAAAAGACTCAAAAGACGGTTTTCGCATTTTCAAGAAAACCTGATATCTCGGTATCTATAAGTGATAGAAAGTTCGGATTAAGCATGTAGTTTTTTATGATGCCCCCCAAATGCAAAGCCACGCCCACCCTAACGCCCACAAAACCCCGAAAACGGAAACTATAAGAGCTACAAAGTTTTGCTTAAGAATACGCATTTAAGGGATGCCACTGCAATTGCAATATGCAATTGCCATAAGAAAATGTAAACGAAATTGATATGTTTAAGGTTGAATATAGTAATTTTATACAATTTTATAGATTTAGTATAGGTTTAAAAAAATTCAATTCACTTTAAAAAAACAAGAGGAAACGCTATCGAGTCGAGTGCCGCGACTATAAGATAAATAGCGAAATAATGTTCCGTTTTGAAAAATCTTTAGTAAATCGATAGATATTATATTAACAGAAAAAAGTTATACAAGGTCAAACGAAGGCATTCATAATATTATTATAGACTCTACAGTTTTCCGCGTTAAAGGTGTGGCAGGATGCTGTAATAAACTTGCGCTGCGTAGGGACCTCAAGAATTTTCATGCTTAATCTCAACTTTGTTTCTCTTATAGTTCCTGAGATCTACTTTACTTTACTCTACTTTATAGGGTCGGAAACGCTTCCTTCTACCTGTTACATACTTTTCAACGATTCTAATATCCCCTTTTACTCTACGAGTAATGGCTATAAAAAAGTATCAATAAATTTAAAAAACCAATTATATTATTAAAGGTAAAGGTTATTTTCCAAAATTCTGGGATAATTTCTTTCTGTTACAAAAAGAACTCATGCAATGCATTCCAAATTCAAATCAAGCTGAAATATTTTATATTTTCCAAACTAGCATATAACAGATTATACCATCCGAAGTAATGCAGTTTCCATGGAACCCAAGAAAAACAAGTCTTGACGAAGAGTTAAAACAAACGAGTCAGTTTGCATTGCTTAATATTTGTTGTCTCAATATTTATTATTTGACTAGATAATGTTCCTTCATAATGCGTTTTGTTTGGTTCATAATAATTCATTATATCATGTTTAGTTTATCGGTTAACACCATTAGCTTGCGGCGCATATTTGTATAATATCGACCAGTCCTAACGCAATGTTGTATAAGCCTCTAGACCCTAACGGATCGGTGGCATAGATCGCGTCGGAACCGTCGATTTTTGTATTTTTGTATTTTATGATAGTATATATATATATAACGTGTGAGAGTGTTTGTCAACCGATCCGTGAGTTTACATGGGTTTCCTCTTTTTTTTATTGTACATACAATACATGTGTTATTGACAATATATAATATAATATATTTAGAATTAACCGTAGGTAAATAATGTAACATACATAATTCATGAATAAATATAATTTCTTAGGGGTACAATATACACAATCTCTATAAATAATATATCTTCATTTCACTGAGAGTCCTCCGACATGGAATGTGAGTTTTGGGGGCATGGAGTGAATAGGATAGAAAAGAGGTAATGTCTGGGAGAGTTCGATAAGCTGGGATGATATAATATATTAATTTAACACGCAATTAACAAATCTATTTTTATGCAACCTTCCTAGTAAATTCAATAAATCAATCAATTAGTTATCAATCAATATGTATGGCATATAGTTATGAATATTTTCGTTAGTTTCGTTTTAAGTAAGATCTCGTTTTCCTCATACACTTCAATTTGCTTTTTGCGTTAACAAAGATGATTTGCCTATATAGTTTTTATTTGCTTATTAGTTTAGTTTGAATATAATTTAATTTGATTCACAACAATAACATTTGAATATGCATTTCCGTTTACGTTTACGCTTGGATTTTTGAATACATCTCTAAATATATCATTAAATAAATGGTATACATAAAGCTTAAAGGGTATCTGATGGCAATGGAAAGCTTCAAGTAGCCTTTTCTAATTATGTAGTCTGACCAGTGTTGGTTAACTTTATGTAAGGCTGACAGTTCACTACAGGGATAATTAAGCTGGCAGCCAATACGCAACTTTTGGTTAACATTTTGCGAAGATGGTAGCCGAAGCCAATGTTGGTTTATCTTAGTTAGTGCCAGCATAGTTTCAGTAGGACTTGACCTGATGTGCATTTGAACCTTGTTTTAAAAATGCTTTTGTGGAAAAATTGCTTTTCATTTTTCTGCTTACTTCACGTTACATCAGTTATAGTATATGTAACATATATGGCTCGTGTGTGAGTTTTTGTCTTGAGATTATAACCATTATTCCTATGCATATGTATGAGTTGACTTTACGTACAATTCTTGTCTGATCTGATATTAATTAACTGTAACGCAGTCGTATAGCTACAAGTAACGCAGTTTAGTATGTTTTAGGCTAGGCTAGGTTAAGTCATGTAGTATGGCTGTGACTATGTGGTGTATAGGATATAGGATACCTAAGACGCCTTGGCTGCCTTTTTCTCCGTTGACGTCTCTACAAATCCATCAGCTTCATCATAATCTTCGTTCGTTTGGCTTTTTACACAGTGTTCATCATTTGTCTGCTTCGTAACCCTCGCACTCTTCTCAGTTGCTGGCCTTAACTTTATTGTCAACTAATCTTTACCTTACCCAACGCGATGAACTCGTTGTACAAGCTAGAGGAGGAAAATACGGCAGATGCTCATAAAAATATTTATATGCTAGGGACCACATTTACTAATGCGTATTATATTATATATATATAACAAGAACGATTGGGATAACCATGCACGAGCAATATCTACAAAAAGCCGCTTGAATGCACTGCCTTTCTATTCACTCTTCCCCTTAGGCAGATTCTGCCACGGAGCTCGGTCTGGCGTTGTTGGTTTAGTTGGAATCCGTGTCCGAATCGCTGGGTGGGACCGGGGAGGCAGCAGGCTTAGTGGCCGTGCTGGGCGGTTCCTCGCGAATGGGACGCGTTGCCGCCAGATACGCGTTCGTGGACTCGCCGTGCGTGGTCTCGATGCCAACCCTGAAAAAGAACAGTTTTGAGTTAATAACGATTTGCCACTAATAGCACCATAACTTACTTAAATTAATATAAGCAATTAAGTAATATAATTGATATGTTAAAGAATCAATTAATATAAATATTAATTAATTAATAAATAATAATTAATAAATGAATTACTGAAAAAAATATTTCCGGAATTCCCTTTGTTATTGTATTTTAACTTAAAGAGTTAATGATATACATATGTAAGTATCAACTGCGAGAGTTATTATCTTATTATGACCAGCAAGTGTACAGAGTGTACAGAGTCTAGACTGTAGAGGTGGAGAAACAACGATGTGAACATCGATGACATCGATGTTTTCGAAACTTCGGCAACATCGATGTTTACCGGAGCAACATCGATGTTTTTCCATTTCTAAGGCACGTTGAGGAAGACTGACGAATTGTAAGTAAATATATCACTTAATTAAATGGCGACGCTTTTGAAACGTTAGCTTTATAATACTTCTGCGATCCGGCATCTTCGTATGAATCTGAAAGAGTTTTCAGTAAAGCTGGACAACTTATAAGTGAACGTCGCATGCGGATATCATCGACCGTTGTCGATAAGCTCCTCTTTTTAAACAAAAACAAACATGTAAATAATATGCAAATGTACATATATAGTAGAGTTCGAGATAGTAAGTATAGTAGGGATATCACAATATCCAAAAGAACTATTATTTTCTTTGAATCATGTATAATATGAATAATAAAGTTCAAATACATTAAAATAACTGCACATTTTATTTATTTAAAAAAACATCGAAAACATCGATGTCCGAGAACATTCGGAATAATAATATTTGGAATTTAATTTGTTCTTGTTTCTTCTGGATCAACCTCGAACACTTGCTCTGGATTTCATTCTTCCTACATAACTTCTGTTTGCATTTAGACTTTATTTCGCAGGGGAATTAGCAAAAAAAATCCTAAATTGTAACTAAAACCGTTTTTCTTTCTCTCTGTGCGCAGTTGCAACCCAACACAAAAACATTACAAAATATTACATACGAGTACGTGCACGTTTTCTTGTATTTGTGTTAGTAAATGCTTTACCGTAAGGTAAATTTAAGCATTATTTAGCATTATTTTAAAAAACTTACACTACTATTCCTACAAGATGTTGATTTCATGTGAAAGAATCAATAGAATAGTGAATGGCTACTCACTTGTACTCGTGTCGCGCTAAGTAGCGGACGTACTTCTCCGGAGGCTCATCGGCATCTGAGTCCTGGACACTTACGGAGCGCACGGTGGTATGCGAGACCTGCGTGGCGGGCATAGTAAACTCCACGAATGCGTATGGCGCCAGTTCACTTGGAATCTGGTCATATGATGTTAGTGCCATGCGGCAAACCAGCTGATGCGTGGTATAAGCACCTAACGGAAGAAACGGTCAATTTATTGCATCACGATTTGTATTGGCTTACTTGGTCTTAATTAAATTTCATATTAAAAATTTACAAAATATACACTTACCCTGACCCTCCTTGGGCAAACGTGCACAACGCCAAACAATGGCCCGATGATGATGTTCGTACTTGGCCTGACCAGAGGTCACCTCGATCAGCGATTCTTGCAGCGTATCCACGGCACCCAGGATCCGCTCGATTCCCTTGATTTTACCTGTTCGTCGATGCGCCGACTTGACCGACCCGTATCTGTTATCATAGACAGAAATGCTATTAATTTCCTGGAAGACGGTTGATTATACCAGAAATATCCACCTAAAGTGCTTCTCCACGCGGAACAGATAAATCCAGCATTCGGGAATAGGGAAGCGCACTGAGACATCTTCGCATGGGATTTGGCCCAGCTTGCGGGAGGTGAATCCGGGCACCAGGATGTCGGCCCGCAGCTCCACCTTGTTACCGGTGACGCACCAGGTGGCCTTTAGCTGCAGCGGAAGTTCGCGATTCTTAGGCGGACGCACACGGAAGCGCAACAGTTCAATGTAGTTGGCATCGGGCGGTTGGAATCTAAAGCAGATTGGAAATGGTTTTCATTTTAATAAAATAATTAATCTAATTTCACATTAAATTGTTTCTATCATTGTAAACTATCATTAAGAATTTTCTTCCTTGTTTTTAATTTCCATACGTATTTTTGAGAACTTTAGTTGACAATCTATCTTGACAATAAGCCTTTATATCTTTTTGATCACTAGGCGAGTCAATCCAGCCATGGCCCTCTTTCCTGCTTTTCCATTTTATAAACAATATTTATAATTTCACAATGGTTCCATTATCAAGCAGTCTTTGTTAAGTGCTAAGCCTAAAAATTTCAGCAGTGATTTATAATAAAAAAAAAATTTGGAATTGGAATCTATGGAATTTAAAAGCTTTAATGTTCGGAATAAGCACGACCCTTAATAATCATCTTCATGATGACTTTTTTCATTGTTTTTAGTTTTGGTAACTTGGGCTTGTAATTAACTTTTCTTGTAATAAACCTTTAAACCCATGGAAATGCCATGTTTTTTTACTACGGAGAGCCGTATCTAACCTCCTGTGATTTCTACTTACTTTATGGTGCGCGTTCTTTCATACTCTTGCTGATTGACCACACTATGAAACTCAACAGCCTCCAGCCGGATCCATTCCTCGGTGGCCACCGGGATGATGTCGTGCCGGCCTACAACCTCCTTCCCCTGCCGCCACATATCGTTCACGCCCAGCTCGATGGTGGGCATGCCGGTGAGGAAGGCGAGGAAGAAGAGTCGCACCCGAGCAATCTGTTTCAGGATCTTGCCTTCAAAGTCCTGCTCAACAGTGATCTCATCCACGGCGGTCACCTGAACCTCCTCCATTTTGTAAGTCAAAGCTCGTTCCCGTAGAGCTGGCAGCTTGAACAGAGCCTCTTCTATGCACACGGAGAACTGCTTCATGTCCTCGTAGTTCATCGATCCTATCTTGAAGAGCTGGGACGATTGCGGCGCATGCTCCACGGGCAAGCCCAGTTTTTTCAGATCGCTGCCAAACTCCTTGACACCCTCATAGTCGCCAGCAATAGCATATTGTGCGAACTTGGTCAGCTTGTTGGTGATCCGCTCTGCCTTGGTCACCTGGCCCGGTCTTACACCGGGACGCTCCTTATAGAATATGTACTGTAGCTTCATTGTGAATATTTTTCCGAACTGGTCGTACTGCTGTGCCCCGACCTCCGACACGGAATACGATGGTTGCAATGGCAGTTCCTGGAAGGGCTGCTTGTCACCTGCCTGGTTAAGCAGCTGCACCACCGGCACGTCGTTCTGGATCACCAAGCGGACGAAGATCTTCTTCCAGAAGCGCTGTCCTGTGATCTTCTTCTTGTTGGGCTGACGCAATTGCATTTCCCAACCGGGTCCTACGTAATGAAGTCGCGGGAACTCCTCCAGTGGCTGTGATACGTCCTCGTCATAGAGCGGTGTCTGTGGCGTTTCCTGTGAGTCCGTTCGTTTAATGGAGCTGCCATCGGTTGGTGGTGGCCCAGGAGCCGGAAAGCCACTGACATCCTCGAAGGGATTAACTTTCGTGCCTGGCGGAGATGTGGTCTGAGCCTGGTTGGCAGTCCGTGCCGGCGGTGGTGGTGGCGCCAGTGTGGGGGCCACTCCACCAGTCCCCGCTGCCTTCGGGTTGATGACTACGCTGAACTCCTTGTCCACTGATTCCACGGAATCCGCGCGTGCTGGAGCCTGCATTGCATAAAAGTCATCGTCCTCGTTGCCAAATCCATCGTCCGCCGAGTTGGTGTCTCCAAAAGCATTCGCCGAGATTGTTACCGATCCGAAAGCACTGTCTCCCCAAGCTGGAAAAGGACACACATCAGTTCTCCAAGTTGGCACAAACTTCACAATATTTAAGCTTTTCTTAATTTAAATAAATAATAAAATGTTACAATTTCAGATTTTCCACATTTAAATAATCAAATTAAATCTATATCTGTTAATCAGTATGTAATCTTGGCAATATGTAATTTTTGGCAATAAAACTCACCATCTCCGCCCGTAGGCGTTATGGCCCCGGATCCCCCAAAGCCGTCCAGGATACTTATGTTGTCCTTCTTTACCGAATCAAACTTGGCTGAGAAAGCGTCGAATTCGTCAGGCTCGGCTGAAAAGATGTTTCCCGTATAGCTAGGGGCCACTTCCGTCTGCGGAAGCTCCACCTCCGGTGCCGTATCGTCGACGGCAAAAATATTGGCCACGGGCACCGGTGCGAATCTCGGCTCTTCCTCCTCCTCAGGACTGGCAAAGGGATTGGCAGACAACTGCCCACTGGCCAAGCCACCACTAGAAGCCAGTGGAAAGTCCAGACCGGTGTCCATTTGCTCCGGCTCGGGTTCGCTGGCCAGTGGTTCGTTATCGACGTCAGCTGCCTGGGTGGTTACGAGTGATTCTGTTGGCGGGCTGTGGTCAGAGATGATTTCGGGCTCCGTTTCCTGTTCGACTTGTGGTTCTGGCTCCGGAACCGGTTCCTGCTTGACCTCCGGCTCATCCTCGTCATCCGAACGAGGCAGATCATCCACCGTGGTTATCTCGATATCCGGCGTAGGTGCCCTTTGTCTGCTGGTTGTTTCCGGTGGCGCCGTCATGTGATTGGCTAGTAGTTCCAATCCAGTAGCCGCCTGCGGTTGGGATGTTATGTCATGTGTGCTCTCATCCGGGCGTATCAGCAGCGAGGTAAATACCGGTTCATCCCGTGAAGTGTGTCCCTCGCGCTGCTCTTCGTCAGGTTCCTCCTGTCCATCCGCCTTCGCCTTGGGAAGATCGTCATGGAGTAAGTCCGGCTTCGATGCTGGCTGTGTTTGTGGCTGCTCGAAGAGACTCAGTATATCCTCCTTAGATTTGGGGGGTGGCGGCTTAGGCGGCTTATTCGCAGTAGTGCCAAACATATCCAGAAGGTCATCTGCTTCTGCCGCGTCTAGCTGTGGAACCACCGGAGGCGGTGGTCTTTGGGGCGCCACCTGACCAGGAGGCGCGGGACGTGGCGGAGCGGGACGAGGTGGTGGTGGTCGTGGCGGCTGCTTTACTGGCGTTGCTGGCAGTGGCGCTGCTGCCTGTATATTGGGCACCGCCGTCGGTACCGCGAAAGGATTATCTAAGGGAACACCACCTGCCACTCCTCCAATCAAATCCACCTCCATTGCTTGAGTATGGGCACTCGATCCACTATCCACCGATACATCTAATAGATCGGCTAGTCCAGAATCCGGAGTGGGGCTTGGTGAGTGCAAATCCCTCATTGAAACCGGACTGGGAGATCTGGTGGCGGGTATACGACCTAGTAGCTCTGAACTGGTCTCCTCCAACTGACTGGATACCGTGCTAATTAAATCTTGGGTGCTCTGTGGAGGAGCCTGGGGGCGAGGCGGCGGTTGGTGTGCGTGTGACTGTGACTGAAGTGGTTTCTTGCCGCCCTCTTCCTCCTCCTCGGCCCCTGATTTCAGACTCAATGCATCGTCTTCTGCCTCGATCGTTGTGCCAAAGAAACTCATCGCCGGATCGAGATCATTATCATGGGCTGCCTCTGCTTCTGATTCCACCCCCGCTTCCAGATCATCGCCACCAAAAGCAAACGGATTCGAGGCACCAGTAGCTAAATATGAAAGAAACATTTAATTACAATTTATGGAAATTTTGAAGTTGCAGTGCGTGGCATCACTGAAATTTGCATGCTTTCCAGCTCTTAAAATTCCTGAGATCTCAGCGTTCATCCGCACAGAAAAGCAGACGGAAATGGGGGACTCGACCTTGATTACCTTATGGGCAATGACGTGTTTTTAGATGTTGATGTTTTTTAGTTAATTTTCAGCTTGGTGGGTGTACTAACCAGAAACTATAATTATTATTACTATTTTATTATTTATTGTTATGTTTATTATTATTAGTATTGTTATTATTGTTATTATTATTCCTTTTATATCATTATTATACATATTTAAAGTGCAATGACGTTACCACCAGATTGAGTATTACATTATATGCTTATCATTATGAATAGCCTTTATTAAACATACCTGATCCAAAGGGATTGTCCGTATTAGGCTCCGACTCAGATTGCACGAGGAACGGATTGGCGGCCATGTCGCCACCGTCTAGGTCGTCGTCCATTAGGAAGGGATTGGCCATTTTGTCGACTTTTGTTTTTGTGTGATTAAGTAGTTTAACTTTCTAGAGCTAGCGCTCGATCAGTTCGCTTTCCAGCAGCTTAATTTCTGTCTCACCAGGCGCTAGATTCTCCGCAATAGAAGTGTCAAATGGATCTATATCCTGAAAAGGCAAGACCGGTCTCGAGTGCGTCGAGGGCGTAAGTACCTTGTCACCCAAGCCCAACTCCTGAGCGTCGCTCTGCACGTCTAGGACGTCAGTCACTAAGGGTTTTGTTTCTGGCAAGAGCTCGTTTTCCAACAGTTTTAACTCCGTCCGACCTGGCCCGAGATTTGCTGCTATGGAGGTGTCAAAGGGGTCGATGTCGTCTTCGGATCCGCCACTCCCACCAGAATTGGTTAGCTTCTTTCGCTCCTGGGCGGGTGTTAAGACTTTAATGTTGATGTTCTCCTCGACAGCCAGCAATAATTCTGCGGGAACTGGAGTGGGTGGGGCCCGAGGATCGAAATCCGGGTCGGAAAGACTGTGTCGCAGATTCGTTGGTTCCGAGATCAGGTCCTTTTCTATGTGTTTCAATTCTATTTCGCTAAGCTTTGCCTCAGGAACATACGAGGTGTCAAAGGGATCAACGTCCTCTGTTTCACGTTCCCTCTCCTGTAGTGGATTGCCAGTTGGTGCGTAATACGGTGTCAGTGGCTTCTTGTTGGCCCCCAACTCATTACCCGCTCCGAGGAGATCCGGTGCTGGCACTAGAAAGCCCACACTCTTCGCCTGGATGTTCAGACTTAGCGAGGACTTTCGGCGGGCGGTGTCGAAATCCGTCTGTATTTGTTCTACCTTCACCTGCGGCTCTGCTGGTCTGTCCTGATCGGCCCGTGGATCAAAGTCGGGATCACTCAGGGAGTGTTTGAGGGTAGCTCCTCCCTCGCCAGACTCGTCGAAAAGTACGCGCTCCAGAAAGCGAAGCTCTGTGGCCTTGGGCTGAACCAAAGCCGATACTGCCGAGGTGTCGAACGGATCGAAGTCCTCTGGCTCCTGGTCAACACTTAAAGTAGGCGCTAAAGGCGCGGGAACCACCTGACTCAGATCGGTAGCACTTCCAGCAAGAAGATCTCGAGTTGAAGACACTAAAAATGATGACGCAGAAGTTTCTTCTTCGGCACGCGGATCAAAGTCGTCGTCTTCCTCGAGTACGGTGCTCTTCTTAATCACCTGATCTGCGTAGTTGGTGTTAAATGGATCGTCGTCAGGATTCTCTTCCTCGTCGTCAGAAACGTAGATGGCACCTGGTACGATGTGCGGTCCTGTTGGCGGACGGACTGGTGGTGGTGGGCGCTTAGGTTTTCCTAGAGACAGACAAAAAGGAGTTGTTGGTATCAAAGTGGCTAGAGTTGAATGCTTAATAATATAAGAATAAGATAATATGAGATGATATTGTGATAGGATAATTAGCGCTAAAATTTGTGTTCGTCTTATAGATTCAGTGAACCGAATCGAAAGTTTCTCTAAGTTTTTGTTCAGGTATAAATCTTCCCGTACTCTGTTAACCAGTGTACACACTGTACTCTCCCTACACTCTACTATAGAGTTACTTCTCGATTTTCAATATATCCGTATGCCAGCGGGGGCAGAAAAATGGTTGAGTTCTTACCTGATTCTGGTTCCGGTTCCGCTTCAAACTCGGCCCAGCTGCCTTCGCCGAAGGCTTCAGTTGGTAGCTCCGCGGCTGGAACAACAACCTGGCTTACGATGGTAACCTCTTCCTTTTTGGTCAAAGACTCGGCGGCTAGTTCGGCAAACTCGTCGTCCTCGTCGTCTTTAAGCTCGTCGAACTCGGATAAGTTCGGGTTGAGCAGCTGATTTTCCTGATCCTGCTCTTCTTGCTCCTCCTCCTCCACGGGTTTGTGTTTAATTAAGTGCAAATGCAACGAGACACTGAGATCAATGGGAGCCGAGGACTCGAGCAGTTCCTCGTCGAGATCGTCGAGCAGATTATGTTGCGGCTTGGCGTCGGCAGCGGCAGCCAGAAGATCCGCCTCCGAATCTGCAAGTTCTACACTTTCGCTGAGCAAAAGGTTTTGAATGCCCTTTCTTAACTTCCGTTTGGGATTGGCTAGGGCGACAGCGTGCTCGCGGTCCACGCGACCGGATAGAACCTCAACGGCAGCTCCGAGACTCACTAGTTTCTTATTGCTTTTTGCCCGATCGGCGCCAACAATGACCTTCTCCGCGTAGGCGGTATCAAAGGGATCGGGTCCGTCTTCGGCGAGGACCGGGGAATCCGGAACAACTGCTAATTGGAGCTCACCGCTCGTAATAGCCTCGATGTAGTCGGTGGCGAAGATGTCATCGGCCTCGTAATCGCCGGTCTCCTCCTCCGACTCAGAGAGCTGGACAACCGCCTCGGCTAACTTATCCCGCTGGGCCTCGATCTGCCCCAGTCGTTGCCTTTCACGCTCCTGTTGCTCAGCTACAAGGCGAGCAGCCTCCTCCTCCTCCTGTTTTTTCTTCTCGGCGGCTGAGGGCAGGCGTTGGTAAAAGGACTCCTTCTTAATCCGATCGAGCTCGTCCTGAGTCTTATGAAGGATACTATCGACACCGGAGGTGAGTGCCTTAAACTTGGCCCACTCCTCGTCGCCGCCGGCAGCTCCGTGACATTGATCGCCCGGCGGTTGATGGGCGTTAATCGAGGATGATCCAGGCGCCTGGTATCCTGATCCTGGTCCCAAGCTAGAGTTGGAGGCTGCTGCTTCGTGGTGGACTTCAACGTCGGATGCCGCTCCGTCAGATTCGCCGGCGTCCGATTTGGTGGCCGCCGCCTCCTGTTTGGCCTTTAGGTCGCGCTTGTACTGCTCGAGCTCCTCTTCAGTAAAGAGCTCCTGGTCCTTTTTCGACTTCTTCTTTTTCTTTTTTAGGCCCTTTGGTAGCTTAAGCATTATCTGATTGCGGAGACATCGAGATCGGTCTGCAAATAAGTCGTGAAACTTACTGACTCCGGGTCGAATACGAAATCGAGCTGGAGATGAAGGTAGTGGAGGTGGTTACGACGGCTACGTAGGATTCAGTTTAGTTCTAGTTGGATGGGGTCTTGGAACTGTGGGTGGGAGGAGCAGACGAGGGATTATGTAAGCTATGCACGTCTCTCCAAACTAAACCGGTATCGAAAAAAAGAAATGTAAATTTGATGGTTTTCATGAATTTGTAAGCGATGTAACCGATCCGTCCACTCACCGCCGCCTTTCTGATAGTTTTTCTTCGGATATGCCTTCCGTAGTCGCTTAATTTAAAAGAAAAAAACTAGCAAAAAACACGATTGTGGAAAATTTGATACTTTTCTATATACGTATGTATATATAAAGCGCTCGATTGTGTAGCTACACGTGAACTTCACGAATTGAAAAAGCTTTTTCGCCGCACACCACCAAAAGAAAATCGCAACAACAACAGTTGAGCCAGTCAAAGCTCAGAGGCCCACGTACTACACACACACTTAACGTCAGGCGGAAAAGTTTTCTCACCGAAAAAATAGGCAATTCATTTTGTGGCTTTTTATCTATTGATATTTTCAAACAACTTGCTATACTATTTTCTAAACAATACAGAAACTTGGTTTTACAAATATAATTCCAATAGCTTTACTATTCGAAATTGTGCCCTCTTCATAAGGTTTGGCCATTTGGTGTCTTTGATTCCTGCTAATGTTATTATGAACGCAATTGTCATTCTTTAGAAGTCCAAGTCTTTAGAAATTAATTTTAAACAAATTTTAAATTAATAAAAAACAACGGGTGTCTTGCTTTCTGCAAAACTTTAAATTTATAGAAGGAAATATTTGTACTTTAAGCAGACAGTTTACATGACAAAGTACGTTTTCGTACATTTTTTAAGTACATTTTACATTATTATTCTTGCAGGAAAAATAACAGAAAGAACTACTAAACGTCATGACTAGTCGCTTTGGCCAATTAAACCTTGATTGATCTTGACATTAAATCGCTATAGAAAAGTGAAAGTTAGGATACTATTCTAGGGTTTCACCTTCAATACCGTTTTGGATTCGCAATCGTAATGTTTCAAAAGAAGTACAGAAGAGGAAAGGACAAAAGTGGCCTTCTTTTGCTCGCTCTTGACGCCTTCAAAAGGGGGGCCAGTAGTACCGTTCTTCTTCTTTCCTTTCTTTCTCTTATTTTTCCTCTTTCTGTATTGTTGGGAAAAATCAATGATTTAGAGACTTATTTTTCTGGCAAGAGCAAGCGAGACGACTAATTCGTGACAGCACCCACGCACTTAACACCACACAAACACCCGCGAGCACACACACACACGCTTACATACATATAAAATATTTGAATTTTGTTTGTATGTATGAATATTAAGGCCCCAATAATTCTCCTTAGGCCTGATTAAAGCACTTCTAAAAAATTTGAGGATTCTCGTCTTTCCGAAGTATTTCCCAATTGGAGTAAGGAAATTATGCAACTTAAACCTTACTCCTGTGCACACGTTTATTTTAACAGACCAGAACTTAATTTGTACAAAAAAAAACACAATTTCACTCGGCCTTGACCCTTTTTCCTATTTGTGTAAGGGCGCAATATATTGAAATTTCCAACTAGACAAAGTTAACAACTTGGGTATTACAATTTTATTTTAATGGATTTCTGGTACTTTCGTTTCTATTTGCTTCAGGGCTTTACCTCTGATTTGAACTATAGGGAAATCTAGCACAGAATGAATAAAACGTCGTGAAATTCCATACGAAGTGCTTTTCGCCGGCAGCGACGTCAGCAGAGGCTGTGGCGCAGCAGTTGCGACAGCGCGAACGATATATCCTGCAAAAGTTTGAGAAAAGCTTCACAAAAGCATCGTAGATTTCCTCCCACAGCTGACGCTGTATTATTGCCATCCCCTTTTTCCATAAAGGATTTTTCTGCTGTCGCTTTATAAGCTCGAAAGCTCTAAGAATGAGAGTGGAAGAAATAGAACTGTCATGTACGTCACCTCCGTTTGACACTTGACATTTTAGTTTGACGCATGCGCGTCCGTAGTTTACCGTTCGCCAGCCCTAAATATTCAACGTAAGTACGTGAGACATAGTTATGTGGAATCTGTGCGAATAAACGTTGAGTTTTAATACAAATTTTTAAAAATTTAAGATCAGATTTCAGCGGAATGTCAAACGATAAGTTATGTAAACTTAATGTATATATAAAATAAATGTATAAAATTGTATAAACTATCCTAAAATAACTATGAAATTTTCAGGAATTTAAATTTTCGTAAAACTGATTCCTTTAAATTATTGAAGAAATTGCAATATTTTTTAAGGATGTCTCAAATGAATTATTTGTATATGATATAAATTTATATTTTTTATAGTAATAAGTCGAAACCTTTGTAAAAAGGTAAATATATCGAATAAAAAATGTTCTTCGCTTAAACACCTATGACATCACGACGATCCGAAATGACTGACTTTTTGTAATTTATTTTTTTTTATTGAGGTCAGAGTGTAATGATTTTTAAAAAGAGCCAAATTGTCTGGTCTCTTGAGAAAACTAAATTAGCATGAACCAATTTTTGACTTTTATTCAAGCCCCCACCGAGATTTAGACACAATTGATCATTTTTCTTGATCTGTCAAGTTTGTGAGAAAAGGCGTTTTTTACATTTAATTTTACTTAAAACTAATATAAAAAATCATTAAGGTTGCTTTAAGGTGGCTTATAATTGTTATTAGGCAACAAAAAGTACCCGTAATAATAATTTTACAAATCTTGCTTTTGGATATCCCCTTTTACCAACACCTAGCGATCTATTTCCAATTGAACAATAAGGGCTGCACATGGCCAGGAAAGTCATCGCTAGCTGATAAATACGTTCTCTCTGTTCTTCCTCTATCAACACAGGGCTCTACAAAAAAATAAAGGTGGAATTAACAGAGTAAAGGGTATCTGTTGATAATGGATATCTGGGAGCTTCAGGGCCTTCACTTATTTATAGTGAAATCCTGTCAATAGCTCCGTGATTATCACCAATAATAATTATTTATCTTTCTGCAGCAATTTTTGTTAGATTTGCGAAGGAATCAATCAGATTTAAATTTGGTTACCTTCCTTTCTTTTATGGTTGATTGCATTATATTATATAATGGTTTTGAGAAGAAATTATACTTACTAATATAATTAATTAAAGCCGTTACTCGTAGAGTAAAAGGGTATATTAGATTCGTTGAAAAGTATGCAACAGGTAGCAGGAAGCGTTTCCGACCCTATGAAGTTTATATATTCTTGATCAGTATCTATACGAAGTCGATTAAGCCACGTCTGCCTGTTAGTCCGTCCGTCCGTTGGTCTGTCCCTATGAACGCCGAGATCTCTGGTACTATGAGAAATACAGAGTTGAGATTAAGCAGGCAGATTCATACGCAGCATTTCAGCATCCTGCCACGCCCACTATAACGCCCACAAATCGCGGAACACTGTGGCGTCCATAATATTATAATGTATGTCTTCGTTTGACCTTGTATAACATATTTTAGTCAATATCTATCGATTTGTCAAAGATTTTTCAAATCGGAACATTGTATGGCTATTAATGAAGACACTTAGGTTATAAGGCCTCACATGGGCAGTGACGTCACTATCAGTTACTCAACATGCTTTCTCTGGCAATAGGTGGCGCTTTGTGAATTTCCACTTGCAAAATGAATATTTTAAAATTGCATAAAACAGTAACGGGTATCTTATAGCCGCGGCACTTGACTATAGCGTTTCCTCTTGTTTAATAATAGTTATATATTTATAAGTTATAAGCTATAAGCAAAATAAAAACCTGTAACTTAGTTTCCAATAAAATTGACCAATGAATACATATGCCTTATTTACTATCTTACAATTTCGGCTTATCGCACTCGTATGACATATCAAAACTTCTGGAAGTCGTAGTTAGGATATTTTGAAGTTTGGTTCAAAAGAGGAACATTTTTCTCCTGATTTGAGTTCTCTTATCCACTGTCAACCGATAGAAAGCCGATTGGCAGGTGAGTCATTTTCCAATCAAAGGCAAGCGTAGTTTGTCAGCACCCAATATCAAGTCGAAAACTGTGTATCTTATCTCCGCCGGAATGGGCCTAGTACACATTACACACAAATTTCGAATGAATAAACATGTGTATGTAGGTTCGGTCCGACATAGTCCATATCGCCCATATCTCTTGTGACTGGCTGGCTAGGTACATATTTGTTCTATTTCGTGCACAGCTCACAAAAGGATCTGGCTTTCCGGGCGACAACTGTTGAACCACCATGACTGGATGTCGCCGTAGAACTGCGTCTTGTGACTGAATCCTGGATCATGGAGCCGGGCGCACAGATCGCAAAAAGGGGAAGTGGAGATCAGGCGGTAGTGTCTTCGCCACCAAAAGTAACTGACATATTCATTCGGGTCTTCGGCCACGAATTTCATGTGCTGGGCCAGATCCGATATCGTCTCGAAGCGATTGGCATCGATGTAGGAGTGCGGGGGCAGGATGCGCGAGTAGTCCGCTCCTCCAAAGACCACGGGTATTATAATTCGCTGCAAGGCGCCGAAGAGCTTTTCCGTCACGTAGTCATCGCACAACGAATTCTCGAAGGCCAGGTAAAACAGGTAATCCGAGTCCAACATATCGTCGCAGTGCGGATCTCCTCGGGCGCAGCTAAAATTGTAAAAAAATATTCAATTCAATGACAAAGGTTACGGTTATTCCAAACTTTTGGATGTTTCACTACCAACTATATATCTATATCTATGCAAACTGAAAACTACTCGTCTTCTCTAATGTTTTATTGATTTGTATTATATTTTTTATCATATTTTTACCTATGGGTCCCGCAAACTCCATAAACGTCTACATTAATGAATTCCTTAAGCCTGTCAGCCAAGATCTCTCTTTTTGAGAGCGTTTTACAATGGGAAACAAACCACGCGGCCATCTTTGTTTTTTTGGGCCAGAAGTTCCAAATGACAGAGTTGTTAAACGAATCTGGTGGCTTTCTCCAGTGTGGCCTCACACTAGGGGCAATCACGGCGTCAGTATCGATGTCCACCAGTGTGCCGTAGGGCCAGACGATATCCGAGTCAAGGCGATATGTCATGGTCAGGTTGTAAAAGTCCCCCTCGTCGTCCAGTCGGTGTTTGGTCTCCCCGGGAGGTTCCATCAAAGCGAAGACATAGGCCTGGTGAGGACTCCTATTCGAGGGTACTTGTCGTATGAGCGGAAACATCTCCGCCGTATGGAAAACGATGGCGTCGTAGAGCTGGACCGCGGGTAAGAACTCGTGCTGGTTGGTGATCTCGCACTGGTAGACCGGGCAACGGAACTCATCTCGCAGTTCCTGCGGTCCCAGTGTGTCCCAAGAAAACTTCCATCGCGGGTCTCCAAAGAAATCATTCCACAGGAGAATGGTTCGGGTGGATCGGGCATTCCCAAGCAACTGATGTTCCAAGTGATCCTGTAGAATCCCGTACTGATTAAGGAGCGGGGACTGAACAACCCTGTAGAGGATCGTTAAGGTCCCCGCTAAAACTACGAGGAGCAACAGCAGGACGCCCCGCGTCCCACAAACCAACCGACCCGATCGAACAGCCATCGAAATGTGCCGGACCTGACCTGATAACAACCGCCAAATACTCCACAGCTACAGTAGGCCCTACCTATATTCATCTCTGCAATTTCAGGGCATTGCTTTAAGTCCAATAAAGTTTGAGTGTTACAGGTGGTAAAAAAAAATATTAAGATAAGCATTTTAAAGTGACGCAACAAGTTGAAGGAAGCAACAAATTGATACTTTTCTATAACAACACTGTAACACTACCCTGTAGGCACTGTACTAATAGTCGTAGTTCCCTTCCGAAAGGTGTGAGTCCGATAAGACCGACCATTATTGATTGCCGGTGCGATTAGTTTGGGAAACTCACAACTCATAACTCACACTCCCAGCTGGTTGAACAAATATTGCGCTAGATTAGTGATATCGGGCACAACAAACCCTTACAGCCCTCCTCCTTACACGGTTAACGAGTGGCAGAGGTCTAGACAGCACTTTAGGAATCGACTGACCAGGCTGAAGAGCACAACGAATCCGTAGACTAGGCAGGTCATTAGGAAATCCACCGACAGCTTTATTATCCGGGATCAACTGAAAACTGACTTAGCCATCGGGAAATGCGAAAACTGAAAGTGACGAGGAGTTCGATTAACCTATGGAAACAGTGCCAGGTGTCCCTTGGCCCGGACTCCCCATGGTAATTGCAGTGGGGCAGAGCAATCTCTGGCAATTACCCTAATGCACTGACCATTGGGTCGGTGGTGGTATAATGTCCTGGAATCGAAATTAATGACCCATTGTCATGAACACAAATTAAAATGATTGCCACAATGTACGTGTAAAAACAAATGTATGCATGTATGCATATTTATGTACATATATATACATACCCCATAGCACACTTCTAGGACCCCATTGGGTTTGTAATTACCATTCAATTAGATTGTCAATTACCTTAAGATCAAGGAAAGCGATAGGCTTTGCATATTAACATGTAGAAACGCTACAGTCAAGTGCAGCGACTAACAGATAGCCGTTTCCCTTCTAATCCATTTTATAACTATATTCTAATAATTATGTCTATTATAAGATCAACCGATTTTTATAAAACTTTATCAGCTAGATCACTATTTAAGCTTAAAACGGCTGCTTCATACCACACTCCTGACGTTAGCCGCCCGATAACATGATAAGTGCAAGTATTAAATAATTTATTGGTTTTCACACACAAAGAGCGAAAAAACTTAAATGGCCGAATCTGCAAACAGTAAATTACGTATATGAACTAGACGAAGAGAAAACGAAACGAAAATCCCAGCAATTTCGAGAACAGTTATGAGGATGACTAAAACACGTGGGCTCAATTTGGTAACTTGGGTATTTGATAACAGAAGCACGCGTTATCATTAAATATATAATATATACACAGGATGAACATCGACTACTAGTAAAAAAATTATGATCACAATGGGAACGGCTAAATGCCACAGCAGGATCGGTGCCCCACCGGATCGCCGGGATGTGTGTCATCTAAGATGCTGAGGGGATCGATATCAGTACTTAGGTGACGCAACGGATTATCATTTGGATCACGCTGTCGTTGTTCAAGCATTAAACGGGTCAGAAGTTCAAAGAGCTCGGTGACGCCCTCATTTTCTTTGGCCGAGGTTTCCACATGTTGGGCGCCTACTAAACGCGCATAATGGAGGGCCTCCTCTTCCGACACCGTCCGATGAAACATCAAATCAGTCTTGTTACCCACGATTATTAGGGCAATATCCGTGCTGTGCATCTGTCGCAGCTCCCGCACCCACGACTTGACTTTCTGGAATGATAAGAGGTCCGTTATGTCGTACACCAACAGTGCGCCATCGGATCCTCGGTAGTATATGGGTCCCAGGGCATGGAACCGTTCCTGCCCCGCCGTGTCCCATATATTCAACTGGGCCCTTCTTCCGTCGTCGAGAGAAACCTTGCGAGTTACAAAGGAGGCCTGTAAGGTGCTCAGGTGCTGGGAATTAAAGCGATCATCCATGTAGCGTAGCACCAGCGAAGTTTTGCCGACAGAACCTGCAATTATGGGGTGTCTTTAGGGGTCTATGGTTAATTGGTTATTCAGTATATCACCTTCGCCCAGCAGAACTACCTTAAAATTCTCGCTGCCTGTTTTGCTCGCATTCATTATGGGATGCGTTTCGGATTCCCAGGTGTCCTGCCTGACACAAAGAAACAAAAAAAAACAACAGCAAAATCTGACAATCTGACACTAAAAAACGGCAACTGCGCAGTGTGACCGAACCCTGAAACAAGCGAATTATAGGGCTATACAACAGCAACAAATCTCTAGGCATCTTACCCATGATTTAAGTTATTCATAAATAAATAATTAGTTAATATAATTTTTAATAAATAATATAATATTATCGAAATATTTAAATAAAAAAAAATTAATTGGAGTTGAAATTTGTGTTTGCAGGAAAATAGTTTTCAACGTAAATAGCCAGTAAGTTTTAGTTAAATATTTACATTCATATTGCGATTTCATATCGGTCGAAACCTTCTACTGCCTAATCGATAAAAATTAATATTGTTTAAAAATTAATAACACTTTTACGCTTTTCAGTTTTGGATACATTCATTCGACCAAAATCGAGGCCAGTTGAAAGAGACATATGTAAGTAGATTCATTAAGTCGTAGAGTTGTAAAAACGCGTCCCTTTATATAAAAAAATCTCAAAATAAATAATAATGCTGAAGTCAGTAAGATAAAGAAATTCAAAAGTTCTAGATACAACATGTGATACATACAAAAATGGCAGATGCTTTTATTGTAGTTCGAGCTGGAATAACAAATATTTTTATCAGTTTACGAAAATGTTAAAGTAAAACATTAGCTAATGAAATTCTTGCTGCGATTAAAATAACCTTGCGATGTTAAATAAAAATAGGATATGCCAAAAATATTAATCAATAGCTTAACATTTTTTTTTTTTTAAGTTTTATTTTTTTTAATATAATTAATATAATTTTATGTTTATACCCGTTACTCGTAGAGTAAAAGGGTATACTAGATTCGTTGAAAAGTATGTAACAGATAGAAGGAAGCTTTTGCGACCCTATAAAGTATATATATTCTTGATCAGGATCAATAGCGAAGTCGATTGAGCCATGTCCGTCTGTCCGTCCGTCCGTCCGTCCGTCCGTCCGTCCGTCCGTCCGTCCGTCCGTCCGTCCGTCCGTCCGTCCGTCCGTCCGTATGAACGCTGAGATCTCAGGAACTATAGCAGATACAAAGCTGAGATTAAGCATGAAGATTCTTGAGGTCCCGGGACAGCGCAAGTTTATTACAGCATCCTGCCACGCCCACTCTAACGCCCACAAATCGCAAAAAACTGAAATTGCTGAAATCTCAGGAACTATTGCAGATAGAAAGTTGAATTTCAGAAAGTATAATCTTTAGATTACAGCGCATCTTATAGTGGTACTACTATCCGGCCACACCCACCCATACGCCCACAAGGCTCAAAAGACCGTTTTCGGATTTTCTATAAAAGCTGATATCTCGGTAACTATAAGAGATAGAAAGTTCGGATCAAGCATGTATGTTTCTATGATGCTCCCAATGCGAATTGTTTTTTTCCGATCATGCCACGCCCACTCTAACGCCCACAAAACCCGAAAAACCAAAAATGCAAAAATCTCGAAAACTATAAAAGCTACACAATTTTACTTAGGAACACGTATTTAAGAGATGCCTCTGCAACTTGCCACGAAGTTGCTTCCGGCCACGCCCACTCTAACGCCCACAAACGGCGGAAAACTGTGGAGTCTATAATATTATTATGAATGCCTTCGTTTGACCTTTTGTAACTTATTTCTGTTAATAGCTATCGATTTACAAAAGATTTTTCAAATCGGAACATTATTTCGCTATTTATGAAGAAATTAAGGTTATAAGGCTCCACATGGGCAGTGACGTCACTATAAGCATACTCAACATACTTCCTCTGACAATAGGTGGCGCCTTGTGAATTTCCACTAGCAAAATTAATATTTTAAAATTGTGTAAAACAGTAACGGGTATCTTATAGTCGCGGCACTCGACTATAGCGTTTCCTCTTGTTTTTTTTATAATATAAGTAAGATTTGTGAACAAAATAAGCTAGAATGAGCTAAAATTTAAAAAAAAAAATATGCTAAAAAACAAGCTACACCCAAATGTGGGTGGCAATAGTCATTGGGGGCTACTTTTATGATTAAGTCCTTAAATTTCCATTGAAAGGGCTGCTTCCTGCTCCTGTGTTTTGTAACATTTTGAAGGGTGTTTTGTAACATTTCTAGCACGTGCTTCTTTGTTGCCGCTTGCTGCCATTTTTCAAAGCTTTTTGCTGAAATTGTTGACTTACAATAGGAGCAATAAGCTCTTGTATAATCTCCTGGCAATTTGCGTAACCACGCCTTGAACTCACTACTTTGGAGCCAAGCATCGCGATAAATTTGTTTATATTGGACTTTCGGCATTTTACTAGAGGTGGAGAAACATCGATGACATCGATGTTTTCGAAACATTGGCAACATCGATGTTTACCGGAGCAACATCGATGTTTTTCCATTTCTAAGGCATATTGAGGAAGATTGACGCATAATAAGTACATATATCACTTAATTAAATGGCGACGCTTTTAAAACGTTAGCTTAATAATACTTCTGCGATCCAGCATCTTCGTTCGAATCTGAAAGAGTTTTCAGTAAAGCTGGACGACTTATAAATGAACGTCGTACGCGGCTATCATCGACCGTTGTCGATAAGCTCCTCTTTTTAAACAAAAACAAACATGTAAAGAATATGCAAATATACATATATAGTAGAATTCGGGATAGTAAGTATAGTAGGGATATCACAATATCCAAAAGAACTATTATTTTCTTTGGACCATGTATATATTGAAATATTGATAAAAAATTTGTTTTTTTTTGGTTTTTATTTACAAACTAAGAATAGGACATTATACCAAAGAAGTGGAACATGAATATCATGAACAGTTTTATTTTAATTTGCTTTTCTTTTCGTTTTTATTTAATAAGTGATTAATAAATTGGATATATTTTGTTGAAAATTTGACTTCTAATTTTTAAGCATTACAAATTAAAATAAAGTTCAAACACATTAAAATAACTGCACATTTTTTTTATTTAAAACATTGATGTTTCATCGATGTTTTCGCCAAAAAACATCGAAAAACATTCTCCACCTATACATTTTACCACTCGCTTTATTAAAGTTCACAACTCCAAGTGATTGCTGGCAACACTTTAGCCAACATATCGATCTTCGATGACACTATCGATTAGAAATATATTCACGATCATATGAAACGCACATAACCATCGGCAAAAAAGAACAAGCTCCGATATTTTCATGCCATAAAGCATATCTTTCTTAAGAAACAACGCGGTAATGACGTAAATAAATTTAAAGCTAGAATATGCTAGATTAATTTTAAAATAAGCTATATTTCAAGCTATAAGCTAGATCGATATTTTTCAAGCTTTTCCAGTTCAAAATATGCTAGAACTAGCTTATAATAAGCTAAACTGGCAACACTGATTCACGGGTAGCGCTGACGGGGCACGCCGCGAATAACAGCTGTTCGGTTGCGGATGGAACACAAACGATAGTTATGTTACAGAGTAAAAAATATAAAACATCCATCTTAAATGGTCAGGAAAGTATCTTAATAGTCCAAAACTTAGAAAATAGACTAAACCACACTGCAGCGGCTGCGAAAACAACTACCTGTTGTATTACAATAATACTTTGCCCGCGCTTATCGATGTGTAGGTGCCGACTGCTATCTTACACTGTGCGTGTGACGGCAAAGGTATGAATCTGCCGACCGCAAACTGGACAATATAATCTGAACAGAAGAAAAAGGTTAAAACTACAAACGGATTACTAGAGATATTCAACTTATCCTCTCCCTTAGACATTATCAGCTAGGGCGGAGAGTTTTCAATTTCGGTGGACCCTGTATTCGGTATTCCCTGGCAAACCTATCACTTAACAAGGTTAACCCATATCCGTGCCGTCAAATTCAGCACAGAGACTCCGTCGGTCAGGACAAGGGCTAATACATAAATAGAACACGATGCCAGTAAAGATGCACGATGTGTCGCCCCGCGTTTTCTGTGCCATGCAAAACTTGGACATCACCTTGCTCGCCAGCTATCCAGAGGCCGAGATTCGCCCCGTTTTGCCATCGCTGGTGCGAATGAGCCTGCTGTCGCCGCTGGACAACACAGAGTCATCGATGGAGTCCCGCAAACAGATCTTGGCCGTGCTCATTGGTATTGAGGTTGTAAATAGCATCGTGTCATACCTGCAGGTCAACTACCATGAGCTTGAAAACGAGCTAAAGAAGGAGCTGCAGGCCCGGCAAAAGTCAGCCTTTTTCGAGGGACAGCAGCACGAGTATGGGCTTCAGTCAGGCATTGCATTGGGCTTTGAGCGGGCAGATGTGGCTCGCAAGGTGCGCGTCGTACTTTCTGAGATATTTAATCTGCAGCAGCAAGTCTCCGAGCAAAAGCCTGCCGCCCACTCTGAAATGCTGGACGACGGCATCTACTTGGAAGAGGTAGTGGATATCCTATGCATTGCTTTGGCCGAGCTGCCCTCCTTGCTAAACATCCTAGAGCTGGCTGATGCCCTCGTTCATGTGCCCAACGGTCATCGTATTATCTGCGCTTTGGTAGCCAACTTTCCAGACTGCTATCGCGACGTTGTGTCCCATGTGATCGCCAACTGTGACGAGGACGGTAGTGATGGAAAGCATCGACTGATGCTGCTAATGGGGCTTAGCGAAATGAATCCCTCCCAGGCGCTGGCCAACAGATCCATGTGCGTGGACATGCTTAAGGTGCCGTCGTTCATGCTCAAGCTCACGCTTAAGCATCCTGAGGATTTGGTGAGTAGGGTAACTAAAATTTGTAAGTTTCAAGATTTCCCATTATGAGAGAGTGACGAAATTGGTTTATTAAAAATACTTAATTATAAAGTTTAAAACTCTCCCAGTAATTCGTGTAGGTTTGATACACAGTTTGTAGCTAAAGGTAGCATATCGCTATCTCCCTCTATTCCATTTACCTTCGCAAATAAATATGTTAGTATATATAAATAAATAACAGCCTAAACTTTGTAACTCACAACAGATCGCATTCCTCACGGGCCTGCTGCTGGGCAATGACCAGAACCTGCGCTCCTGGTTCGCCGTTTACATCCGATCCAGTCAAAAACGGAAGGGCGATGCACTCAATCTGGTGCGCATAGAGCTTTTGCAGAAAGTGATTCAAACGACAGCGAATGCGGCGGAGCTGCGTGACTTCAATTTACAGGGAGCGGTGCTCCTGCGACTATACTGTGCACTTCGTGGAATTGGTGGTCTGAAGTTTAACGACGATGAAATCAATGCCCTTTCCCAATTGGTAACGAGCTGTCCGCAAGCCACACCCTCTGGAATTAGATTCGTGACGCTGGCTCTGTGCATGCTCATCGCCTGTCCGTCGCTAGTATCTTCAATTCCTTTAGAAAACAAGGCAGTAGAGTGGCTGCAGTGGTTGATCCGCGAAGATGCCTTCTTTTGCAAGCGATCCGGCACCAGCACCTCACTGGGTGAGATGCTCCTGCTGCTAGCCATCCACTTTCATAGTAATCAGATATCGGCTATTAGCGAGATGGTCTGTTCCACTCTGGCCATGAAGATTCCCATTCGACCGAATAGCACAAACAGAATCAAGCAACTATTCACACAGGATCTGTTCACGGAGCAAGTGGTGGCACTGCATGCTGTTCGCGTCCCAGTCACTCCGAATTTAAATGGCAATATTCCGGGCTACTTGCCAGTGCACTGTATCCATCAACTGCTGAAGTCAAGGACCTTCCTTAAGCACAAAGTGCCAATTAAGTCGTGGATCTTTAAGCAGATATGCAACTCGGTGAAGCCAGTCCATCCAGTGATACCGGCTTTGGTGGAGGTGTTTGTTAACACGCTGATAATACCCAATCCTACTGGCAAGGTTAACATTGATCACATGCACAGGCCTTTTACTGAAGCCGAGATCCTGCACGTATTCCGCACATCCAAGCTAACATTCTTCGCCGAAGAACTGCCACCCATGGCGGAGAGTGATGAACTGGCCCAAATCGAGGTGGCCTGTCCACTAACCGCGCAATTGCTGATGATTTACTATCTGATGCTATACGAAGACACGAGGTTAATGAACCTCAGTGTTTTGGGTGGCCGCAAACAGAAGGAGTACTCGAACAATTTTCTGGGCGGATTGCCCTTAAAGTATTTACTTCAGAAGGCGCATAACTACCACAACGATTACCTCAACCTCTTCCATCCGCTGCTGCGTCTGATCATCTCCAACTACCCGCATCTCAGTATGGTGGATGACTGGCTGGAGGACCACAATTTGGCTCAGGGCAACTCCACCGTAGTGGTGAGCAAGCGTGAGCTTAGCCCGGAGGAATTGGATCGGGCATTGGCCGCCATTCAGACGAAACCACATTTGATTATCAGGGCGTTTAAGCAACTGCTTCAGATGCCGCCAGAAACACAGGCGCAGTATGGTCAGCAGTTGGTGCAGCATCTTCCAGCGGTGTTCGGCAAGTCAGTGCCGCGGTACATTAAAGATCTGTATATCGATATCTGGCTACGCCTTAACGCCGTATTGCCCACCACCTTGTGGATTATGTCACTGCGGGCGATTACCAATAGTTCGGACTCGATCAACCGGAGGACCTTCGCCAACGAGAGTTTGCTGGAGCCCATGGAGGTGTTGAGGTTGGTTTCTTTTGGATTTTCAAATGATTTATTAACATTGCCTTTAATATCTCCCTCTTCTCTTTTAATAGCTGTCCTCGAGCTGTGTTCTGTTCACCTTATTTGCTGATGATCCTGCTGCGCATACTCAAGGGAAGCCTGGCCGCTTCGAAGACCTACCTTAACATACATATACAGCAGAAGCAAGTTCTGGACAAAAATGGTCTAGTGCAGACGGATGCGGATCGGGAGGAACTGAAGACCACGTTGATTGCCTCGCAGGAGAGCGCAGCCGTGCACATTCTCCTGGAAGTTCTTGACTACATGGCCGGCAAGGCTTCTGATCGGGTGTCTCATCTTGAGCTGCGTGAGATACAGGGTATCATTGGGACCTATGTGCATCAAGCATTCATAACGGAGCCGTCGCTGGCCAAACTCGTACACTTCCAGACATATCCGAAGACTGTTATCCCATTGATTGTGGCCAGTGTGCCATCGATGCACATATGTATTGATTTCGTTCACGAATTTCTCAACGTCACCGAGATGGACAAACAGATATTCACCATTGAACTGACCTCCCACTTGGTCCTAAACTATTCGATACCCAAGAGTTTAGGTGTCTCAAAATTCTGCCTGAATGTGATCCAGACAACGTTGTCTCTGCTCACCGCCTCAACTAAATGTAAATTTCTGCGAAGTGTGCTGCCAGCGATTGTGCGGTTCGTGCAAACGTTTCCCATCCTGGCCGACGACTGCGTCAATATATTGATGACCACTGGTCGTAGCCTGCATTCCCAGTCGTCATTGGGCGTAACCACAATGCAAATGCCTCTAACAGAAAGCGCGAAGTTATGCTCATATCGGGATTCCCAGCTGCACATAATAATGATCGAAGACACATTCAAGGAGCTAGTCACCGCCGTCATGCAAAAGTCTGAGCTATATTAGCTTGCTCGATCTTCATGAGCTTTTTCTCCTTCCGCTATCCAGCTGATTATAGTAGTGCTTTTATACTGATAATGATAAAACTGATGACCAAAATACGCATATAATTAATTAGGAGTAAATTAATTTATTTGGAGCGAGGTCTACACACGCAATCATGCGGTTGCAAAACAATTTGGACTTCAAATTTACAGATTTAAAGGGGTAAAAATGTATGTACATTACATGAAAATATATATTTTTTTGATGAAAAAATGTTAACCTAGGTAGGAAATTGGCATATTGGCTTTCAGTCACAGAAAAATTTATTAATCTCAATGTGTTAAGACCTTAGAATAAGAATAAATAGTTGTTCTAAGCAAAAAAATACTGTATTCCCCTTATTTGTTCCAACTTTTTGTATTATTTTACAGATAGAAACTGCTATACGTACACAATGATCTAACAGTACATCGACCGTTTTTTAATAACAAATGGCGGATAAACTGACTAGCGAAAAAATTTTTTTTTGGTTTAATAATTCACATTTTAGTTTAAATAGCGCCTTTTAATATCTGTAATTAAGCCAAACCATAAAACGAGTTTTATGATTATTATTATTAGAGCATTATTTAGAGAATTTTAAATAACAATTTTCTTAACTTATAGACTTCTGATTTTTATAAATATAAAACCTTGGTTCTGAATCTGTAATATGCGCTATAGACTTGGCGATGCCAATATAGGGAAAACCCCTTTCTACATCCCTATCCACCATCGCGAAAGGGGAAGCCACCAGGTATATCTACAATACACGATTTGCACAAATTACTCAAGATTAACACCTCGATCTAAACATATCGACCACTGCACAGTCCTCTTGCACGGCTTTCTTTGTTGGTTTGAAAAATGCCCTTATTCGGTTTAGAAGTGGCATTCGTATTTTCAGAAAAAATGTTATGATATGAACTGCATAAAAAATTATACTCGTAGTTTTCATTAATTCCAACTTTCTGGCTCAGCATCAAACAGCCGGACAGCAGACGATCAAACTGAAAATTTAGAGCGAGTTAACCCAAGTTTTAACCCAGTTTGACATACAATACAATATATATTAAACTTGCTTGAAATTAGGGAAATTCAAACTGTTTACTGTTCAAATTTTAATTTAAAAATGTTCGCGCAAAAATCACAAATTATAAATCAATCTGGTAACACTCCTAATATCGATAGCATATTAAAACTCTATCGTTCTTATATATCTGGAGGGGTATAATCCATAGGTAAACAATCTATATCAGAAGATGCCAGAAGCGAGGCCTATCGGCAGAAACAGCTGTTGAACTACGTGTGGGACGCAATCGATAGTTATGTTATCAATTCATGATATCAGGAGGAAAGGAAAAGGAAAATATTCTGAAACTTGCGCCTTTTGGGGACAGTTAATATTTATAAATAATAATTAGTACATAGCATAATATAATTATTTTTTGTTGCTGTCTATCAAAAATCACCTACCATGGCCTATGACCTGAAGAAGGAGTCAGACGTGAAGGAGTACGTAGACAAGTTGGGTGTGGAGTACCGATTCGGATGTTATTCAGAGAAGAAGCCAGAAGGTGAGTACCTGGTCAACGCCGGGGCAAGCCAGTCGAGGCACCAGCCGCTTTAGCACAAACACATGCGGTCCATAAGCTTGGTTGCCGGGAAGGAAATGTTACAAAACAAAACGCGAGGCTTCGAGATATGAGATAACTAACTGCCATTCTGCTTTGCAGCTTGCCACCTATTAGGCGACTACCTCGAAGGCATCAAGAAGGACTTTGAGAAGGCCTCTAAGGTGTACAAGTCCACGTGCGACGACTACGGTTACGCAAAGTCCTGCTACAAGTTCGGCAACTATAGCTTTTTGGGCAAGGGCAAGAGCGGAAGCAAAGGGGATCCCCGCGTGGCCTACGAGTACTATGAGAAGGGCTGCAACCTGAACGACTCGGACGCCTGCCTGCACTCAGGTCTACTGTTGGTCTCGAGATCCATGCCCAAAGAGATCGAGAGAAATGTACCCAAGGTAGGTGCCGCAGTGTGAACGCCATAGGTACCCATTGGTAGCACAGCTAAAGAATAGTTGCCTGAAAATGCCATATAAAATATAGTTTGAGGTTTTTACCCCGCTGAAGCACTGATTGCCTAGCATACTACAACTCACCAATTCATAAGGATTTTTAAAATCACTTTACTGAACTGCCTTGGCAATAATAGCAAAAAGAAATTCAATGCTGTTTATTATGCCCAAATTTTTGATATGTATTTAATGTCTGAACATTTCTTGTACTTTCTACCTTTTAAAGGTGCTATAATTGTAAGTGATCAACGATCGTTCTGTGTTCACAATAAGTGTTATGCAAACAAATCTCCAAATCTCACTTAACCTCCAATCACATAAACAGTTAACTCCAAGTTAAATTGTTCTATTTTTGCTTTAATTTAATTAAATGTGATACCTAATCAAAAGGAGGACTATAACTTTTTAGAGTCGAAATTTTAAGTTTATATAAAATATAAGAATTAATTTGTTTATTGTGCAATTCACAGGGCTTGGAGTTCCTGACCAAGAGTTGTGACATGAATAACGCCACGGCCTGCTTTTACCTCTCCGGCATGCACATCTCTGGCGTGCAAAAAAAGCCGATGCAGAGCACGACGACTGCATCCGCAGGAAGTGCACCTACAGCGCCCCCCTCCAGCAACACACCATTAAAGGACTCCGACTACATTGTGCAGAAAGATATGAAGAAGGCGTTCCAGTTCGCCCACAAGGCGTGCGAACTTCGCAACATGTATGCATGCGCCAATCTCAGCCAGATGTACGCCAGAGGCGATGGGATCGAAAAAAATGAGAAGGAGGCGGAAAAGTATAAGAAGCTGGCACTTGAGATGCAGGATGAAGTTAAGAAGCAGCAAGAGACTTTGGGTTTCCAGCAGGGCTTGGGCATGCCAAATTGATATATGTACTTTACAATATTTAATTACTGCTATTATCTGCTGCTCTTTTTTAGCCCGAGCTTAGACCAATGTTTTTTGTCTTCACATATTTCTTTATCAGGTTTCCTCATATCCTTTTGCCCTTTTCAGTCGGTATAACATTAGTGGTTAAACTATATATCTTGTGTTTGTGATTTCTGTATAAATAGCTGGCATTTACATGCGGCGGAGCAAGAGGAGGCGAGACGAAGACAAATTTCTAGTTTTAAATGTTAAAGTTATCAAGTTACAATCGAAGAAACCTTGAATAATTTTGTTGAGACCTTATTGCAAAATACAGTCCGACCCCAGGACGCAGACGCAAACCACCAACTGTATGAGTTTTTATTGCTGATGGCCGTTTGTTTTTTATGGGGTTTTCCATTTCCGAGGCCAAGCTTGAAAGGGGATGACAAAAGCCCGCCGACGATGATCAATTATCATAACTCGCGATCGTCATTTGCCGTGACTGCTTCGTGGCTTCACAGTTCAATATGATCACGCGTGCAGTGGGCTTCGGATTTGTAAAGCCATGTTAACCATTAGATTTGGGATTTCTTTCCTTATCAGAGCCAGTAGATTTGAGATTTCTTTCCTTATCAGAGCCTCCGTATTTTAGCGTGACGAATAAGACTATATTAGGAAGTTTATTTGTCGGATGTTAAGGCAACTTTTTTCACAAGGTTAATATTACTATTACCTAATGCATGTCGAGGCGATGCTTTCCCAACTGTTGGTCATTGGCTAGCGCTATCTGTTTTTGAAACCATATAATGTATGTTTATCAATTGATTTATGATTTAAAGGCCTTTAAAATAATGTATCAATTTGTAAAAGTTTTTGGCAATAAATGCATATTAACAAAAACTAATATTCAATCCAATCCAAGCCTTTAGCTTGATACGTTTCTGTTCGCGGTAAGTGGGCGTTAAATTATTGTTAAAAACAAAATTCATAATCAAACGATATTTTTAATATTATATTATGGCATATATCTGCATGCATGACATGACTATCGACCTAAACATCTGCAGAAACATTGTGCATTCGGATAAACGGACAATGCTAGGCCTCATGATCAAACACCTAAAATACATTATAAGGTCCGAGGGGCTTCCTTTTACCAGTTACAAACTTTTCATACTTTCAAAATTTGCATGTTCTAAGTCGTCTGGGTTGAATATCTGAATGACAACTATATCCTCACATCCCATAAAGGTAAATGGAAAAAGAAGATGTGCATAAGGCATTAAAAACTATCAGGTGGTACCTCAAGCCAATTTCAAATACTTGTATATAGGAAGCACACATTTACACGTGGAATGGGCCTCTATCGAAGCCATTACGGACATTTTCCCGTTCCCAAAAGGGTTTTAGTTTAAACCAGGACAACAAACCGAAGCACTAATCGGTTATTATGGTTTTTTTTGATTATTTTGAGCTTCTGAATTCGGGCGGTTACAGAAAAGAAGTTGCTGATATACATTAAAGTCATCGGTGAAAGTTGATAAAATTAAGTAAACAAGTAAAATTAGGCATGCAGAGTTAGATGTAAGTTTAGAAGCTTTCGAAAAGTAATAACAAGAATAGAATAATAGACACTGACATGTCTTTACCCGCTTGGCTATTAATCCTGATCAAGAATACATACTTTTTAGGTTCGGAAACGCCTTCTTCTGAATACATTACAACTTTACTCTACTAGCAACGGATTTAACCACCTTTTTATACACGTTACTCGTAGAGTAAAAGGGTTATCTAGATTCGTTGAAAAGTATGTAACAGATGGAAGGAAGCGTTTCCGACCCTATTCTTGATCAGGATCATTAGGAAAGTCGATTGAGCCATGTCCGTCTGAACGTATGAACGCTGAGATCTCAGGAACTATAGCAGATACAAAGTTGAGACTAAGCATGAAGATTCTTGAGGTCCCGGGACAGCGCAAGTTTATTTCAGCGCCCACTCTAACGCCAACAAATCGCGAAAAACTAAAATCGCTGAAATCTCGGGAACTATTAGAGCTTGAAAGGGAAATTCAGAATGTATAAACTTTGGATGCCAGCGCATCTTTAAGTGGTACTATTATTCGGTTACACCCACCCATACGCCCACCAAGCTCAAAAGACGGTTTAAGCATGTAGTTTTTTATGATGATGATTGATATGTACATACATAAAATTGGGTATACATAAAATTACGTACATATGTATGATGTTTAAGCCGCCATAGCCACGAAACCTACAAGTTGTGACTTCAATAAAATGTCAATAAAACAAAAACTGAAGCTTGCCGAAGCTAACTTTCTTCCTTGTTGCCGTTTACAAGCTGTTTGGATATTTTTGATTACGTTATGGATTTTTAAATACATTATACATTGGATAAATATCAGTCAAAATTGGATCTGTTTGAATAAAATATTGGTTTATAATTTCAGCAAAATATAACTATATTTTCAGGTTTTAATCGATAAACCAACCTTGGATGTTTGCTGTAGTCGATCGTAACTGATTGTCTTCTGTTTGTCAGTGGCATTCTATTTACTGCTTTGGTAATCGTCTGATCTACTGGCTATTTTATGAGTTGGTCGCTTAATTAGGAACGCTCTTGACCAATTAGTGTCTGTTTATTCAGCTAATGATGGCCCTGGTCCCCACCCCTCTACCACACATTTTAAACAAATATCGAAGTAGCAAATGACCATTATAATTGGAATATAAGAAAAGTCTTGTGTAAGATGAAAGAGCATGCTATATTCGTATTATACATTGAAAAAAGTGATAGTGGTGGCACTCGACTTGAAAACAAGAAGTTTTCTATTGGTTTTTTAAGTTTATTCTTGTAAATGTGTTTCACAAATCCCGTTTGGAAGTTGGTTCCAAAAACAAATGATTGATCACGCTTAGATCCTTGACAAACAATATAATTTCTAAGGACGACTGTTAATTAAGAATTTTCATCATAACTTAGAGTAGTCATTTAATATTTCCCATAATAACTGAATAACGGGTATACTGAGGAAAGTAATGCGTCTTCATTTTCTTTCAGCCTCAAATAGAAAATTAGATTTTTTCGGTGCAGATTCTAGCATTATTTTGTTGGAGAAGCTATGGTTCTGCTGCCACGCCCCAAATCGATGGCACGAGTTTGCGCTTAACTCTAATTAGTTGATCGCTCTACCATGACTTGACCTTTGACGATCGCTAATGCCCACTCTACCCCGAAATAAAATTGACCAAATGCAAATAAAAAAAAAAGGTAAGCTAAATAACTGAACACTGGCAAACAATACACCCCACAACGAGCGCATAGGTAAGCTCGAAAAAATAAAATACACCCACGCACACCAGCCAGCAATTCGCCTTTGAATCACTGCTAGTATTAGTCAATAGTCAGTTAATTTGTATTATAGTAGCAAACATGGTACGTACATACATGCATATCATATATACATAGATAGGCACACATACGCTCGGATCTGGAGCCAAATCAAGCTCGGCGAAAAAACATAAAAAATCGTGAGCTCGGTTTAGACTAAAGCGCTCCAAGCACCGATTCAGAATCAGTTTAACGTCAACGTCGGTGGCATCAAGACAATACACACAATAACAAGCCAAGCCACATAAAAAATTAAAAAAGAATAACAAATAAAGAGAATGTAGAGGCGAAGAACCAGAAAAGCGAATACTAAACGCAACATTTTTGGATAGAGATCCAGAAACGAGAGCAAAAACGATACCGAAAAGATCGAGATTAATGTCAGCGAGTGCAAAGACGCGAGTAGGCGCAGAACAAAGATAATGAAAACAGAACAAAACGCGAAGAATCGTTAAGAAACGCTGCGTAACGGGATCTGATCAGTATTTTTGTTGTTGTGCCATAACCTTTAAGTGAGAGTGTCAAGAGCAAGGTCCAGAAACAACAGATTTGCACACACATATGTATATACACAGTCGAACTTCTATTGCTCGGAACCCCTATTTACGGAATAGTACGGAATTTCGTTCGGATTACGTTCACGAATCTTAACATAAAACTTTAGGGCAAATTTTCTTTGTAGGAAGTTCGACTGTTTTCTATTTCATTCTGTTCATTCCCCTTTAATTTTTCTAAAGTTTGCTTTTGAGCATACATATACCGAGAAGGCAGCCCCTCTTAAACGGTTTTTACTTTGTTCGATTTTTGCTTTAATTTTTGGTTTCATTTAAATTTGCCGGCAATTGAGTGACGGACTGAATGCGCTGGAAAATAATGGAAAAAGGTACTGGGAAGTAATGAAAATAAATTTTCCGCCGGAAGCTTGTTGGAATCACCTTAATTACACAGAAAAGATAATACAAAATTTAAGCAATGAACGATTTAGTAATTTGATAAGAACCTGGTTTTCCACAGAGGGACATTCATATATAGTTATTATCTTATATTGCTCATTATTTATTAGCCAATAAACTAGAAGGGAACACTATATTACCCATTCCTTAGCAGCGCAAAACACCATATTTACCATTAATAAGATCGGCACCATTGAGGGATTACACGAAACTGAGCATACAGTCTACAGGCTTAATTCTAACCCTCTTCCTTGAGTTCCGGAAATATCGGTTTTCCATTTGCTAGAATCAATCACATATCCAATACATTAAGAGGTGTAGAGAACCAAAATACAAAATCTATATTTTTTGTTTGAGTATTTCTTTCTTTTTATTCCCTCTCGATCCCTGCTCTTTAAAAATCGTAGCTTCGGACAAATCGAATGAATACTATAGGTCTGTTTGGTTATTACTGCCTTAAAACATATATCACCATCCACAGATCGTCCGATTTTCGAACGAAACGAGATGCGTCTTTCCGAGGTGTAATCGTGTGCGTGGGTGTGAGGTGTCCGTCCATGCGTGGCAGTTGGTGTGTGTGTGCCTCAATTGCCTCCGTTCCTCTATTCGCCATCCGCCATCCACCACCCACAATCCCACCCACCGACCCACCCGGGTACTCTACGTGTCATTGTGGATCTGGATCTTTAGCGCAAATTGAGATAACTCTCGCCGTCTCACTTAAGGCGAGCTTAAAAGTGGTATAAAGCCGAAGGGACAGGGAAGAGGCCGAAGAAAGGAAAGAAAAAGAGACGAATAAGAAGATAAATAAAAGAAACAGGAGGCAAGAGAAACGCAAAGAAAAACTGCAAAGGAGGAAAGAGAAAATCAACACCATTGAAGTGGGTATTGGGATTGAGATTGAGATTGCGCTTCATACAACGGCGCATCGCAGTTTACGAGTGTCCATCACCACTACAACACCGTGCAGCAATGGAAGACTATTGGGGTCTCAGCAGCACTACGGGTACATAACCAATAATGAAACTAGATAGAAACTAAGCCAAGACTAAGCTTCGAATTCGAGATTTGCCTAGCCCATCGTTTTGCACGACTATTATCCTTTTAAAAGTGTGTTCTTTCAACTAATTAACTTGAAAACTAAAACAAAAAAAGAGAAACATGAAACGTGATAAATCGTGAGGAAAAACAAAAGATGACGAATTACAGATAAGTTGATAATTTACCCCACAAGTGTCCTCTTAACTAATTAACAAGAAAAAACATCTATCGTACATTATGCACATTTTTTTTCTGTTGTTTTTAATGTTTTGTGTGACGGCGCCAGTGGCGGCGACAAAAAAGAAAGAAACAAATTTAATAAATCAATTAAGCCTCCAATGAAACGGAACAATTGTAATGCAATGCAATTAAGTGTGTGTGTGCGTGCAATGACGTCATAGGCCCCGATACATACATACACAGGCTAAGCCGATGAAAACGCTATTTTCTGCACGATCTAACGCATACCCAACGTATGCTTGTATCTATACATATGTATATTCCCGATGTGGGTGTATGTATGTGTGTGCAGATCTCTATCTGCCCGCGAGTGCATGTGTGTGTGCCCTGTGTCTCGGTGTCTCTGTGTATGTGCGCGTAAACTAAGGCATATGGATCAATTGTCTAAATTGGCTCATTAAGTGAATCTTAATGACATTTACTATGCACAGTGGCAACTGAAACCGTGCCTTGCTGGCTTTTCTTTTCTTTATAGTGTATTTCCAAGTTAGTTTCAGTTTTATTAGATTTCACATGTGCATGTGTGTATGTAGATGTTCTGAATGGCGTGCTGTGCGCATGTTTAATGTGTACTGTAACCGAAAAATCATGCAACCATGCAAAGTGTGCGTAATGTCCCTTTGGTAAAAAAACAAAAGTATCTGAATTCAAGTTCAATTTATTTTTACATGAATATTGGTAATTTATTAACCAATTCACAAGAATGTTTATGCTTATTTTACGCCTTAGAACTATTCCGCGAAAAAAAAATTGTGAAGTATTTTTCCACTTCGTGTCCATTTTGACTATTATGTCGAAGTTCCCAGTTGTCCCACTGTAAAAGCAGTTAAAAATATGACCAACCCTATCTGTCTATTACTACGTTTATACGAACGACTTTTTTGCAAATAGGAATTAGTGACATCATTAATACAGAGAACACTTTTAGGCACAAAACAATTTTAATTTTATATTGTACATTGGAAAATCTATATATTTAAAAAAATTACCATTTTAATAATTGTACAATTAGGTTTTCAAAAAATAAAATATTTCTGCCATAAAGTAAGAGGTTGTATTCGTGGTATTCGTTGCAAAGAAAAACAAGGATATTATAAATGTCAACAACTATGACAGCTTAAGAGTTAAAGGGTTAAGCATGACGATTCTAAAATTACCTACTACGATTGCTAGCGCTATTTGCCATTTCAAAATGACAATATTTGTTTTATTTCTTGTTTATTGTGTTTTCCGTTAATAACAAATCACTTTGTAATGATTATGCTCTGAAGATATATTCGCGGTTGATCAGTTTATGGCCTAAAGATGTGGAAAAACTACATTTTCTAGAGCTTCTATCATTTATTCATAAGCGGCTTGGAGTAAAGTTTCGATTGCCATTACTGGTATTGAGTTAAAGAAGTTAATAATACAAATGTCCACAGAATAGGTGATGCAAAACTTTGATAAAAAAATAATACTACTTTTTACAAATAAGTCTGTTAGGTAATGTAATAATCCTAAAAGTTTAAAATTTAAACTCCTGGAATTGAGCCTTAAAGAGTTTAAACTTGTTAGCCGCGCGATACTCATTAAACTAAATCATGAACTAAACTGTCTTTTATTTTGAAGACCAGGCCATAAAGAAGCAGAAACTAAACGGGAGTGTAATATATTTGGTGAATCGTAATCGAAAACCTTTTTGTTTTGAGTAGCAGCAATGAAGCGTTAAGTCAAAACAAATTGTCAAGCAAGCTGTCAAAACCAAAATAATTAAATCAAATAAAATGAAAATAAACAAATTAAATCTTTGACCTTTTCGTAGCCACTGCAGCGATAGATCCATTTTATTTCTGCCTAACTTATTGGTTCGGGTGCAGGTATACCCAGATCGAAAAGATGGGGAGACAGCACCAAGTAAGGTTAACTAACTAAAAATGGAATATACACACACAAAAGCTACAAAGCTGGGATCGTTCTGAAAATGTTTCTTTAAACGGTATACAAAAGTCATATTAAAACGCATTGTCACGATGATTTTCCTTACTTATGGTTAGAAATAAACTTACATATGGGTACATACGTGGAACCTATAGATCTTTTTGTGTGGGCTAAGAGGCGTTGTACTTTAAGTCTTTCTATAAAACAATTGTGACAACGAGGCGGATACGTAATATGTGGAAGCTCAGTCATATAAACAGTGTCTTTAAAATATATGTTCTAAGTTCTATGGAAAACTAATTATTATTTATATATTTGAATTAGGTTAAGGAGGAAACGAAAATATGGAATTTTAGTTTACCTTCAATGCGAAAACATCGCGCCTTTTAAGTTTGTGTCTAATACAGTCGGTCTTTAACAGGAAATAGATAATAAATTATCCGCAAATCAAGGAATAATTAGAGTGAAAATAATGAGAGATTGAAATGAATAAAATGAATGAAATGAATGTTGGAAATATTCTTATGAAAACCATAAAGCTAGTTTTCAACTCAGCATTGATAGCTATTACTTCCGAAGACTAATTAATGTGCTATATAAGGTTTCCGTTCTCGGCAAATTGTCCTAGATTTTCGTCTCCAAATTGGCAAACAGCAGTGGCAACTTCGTTATGACCGTTAGTAGATCTATTTGCCAGAACCGGAATTCAACTGCAATCCACACTGGACAAAAAGTCCTTTTGCTTGCTTGTAAATAGGTTAATAGTGTCTTCCCTTACCACGCTTACCATATTAAGACAACTTTATTATGTTTAGATGTCGTAATTCCCAAACATTTGGAATTTGATACGGTTTTACCGTTTCAACGCCTCTCATTCAATTAAAGTTAACTTAATTTACTGCGATTGAATGTTTTGCTGATTGTTATCCACACTGAATTGATTATCATTAACACTTCCCTTTCCCTCTTGCATCCACCCTGTGGCTGTCGCATTCGCTACGTTGTAAATGTTTATTAAGCATCATTCCATTATGCGGGATGCCGGTTACAAAAAGCGTTTGTCTCAATTGACCCCGGACTCCAAGTTTCTGTATCCCTCAATCTTCGTCAGCGTCTGCGTCTTCATTCCCCGGGTTACCTATATGTTTGTCTTCGCTCCCAACTCCGACTCCACACTGGGAAGAAACGCCCAAGAGGCTATATTACTGCACGCTATGTGTTGATTTTGTAAATATAATCCATGATGAATAACGTCTCTAAATCTTGACTGATAACTGGCCTTTGTTTTGCATCTAAACTCTGCAACAGGTTTGGCGTTTTGAATAAGATTAGGAATAATATTATAACGCTGTTATCAGAAACATGCCTTATCTGAGTTTGCAATTTGACATGAAACATAAAATCGATAAAAAGTTGGTATGGAAAAAGAAATGTTTTGTAACGAGGAAGAACACCGTAGTTTAGGGAAAAAGAGATTAGAGATTAAACCTTTCCTTGTTATATAATCCCAAATAAAGATAGATAGATTTGTACGTAAATAACTTTACTTCTTTAAAATGATACATCGAGATTAAATGCGTTTTTGCTAGGAAACAGGACTTTATCTTGATTTTGCCATAATTTTCTTATTAGTTTTCATTTCACCAATGATCAGCAGTAAGCTTAACAAGAATAAATACGCTTTAGCAAGTTGAAATTTCGTTTTTTACTTCGTTTTCTGTCTTGAATAATAAAAAGGCCTCCCGGAGGTATTGTGTTATTGAGCATAACCTCACCTCAATATTTTCTCGACCCTGTCTGTGCCTTTGCTGATGCCTATGTCGCTATCAACTAATAATGGCCAATCGATTGCTATGATGGTGTGGCTAGCCTTAGCCATTCGGCTTGGTCAGCATTTATTGCTCCAATTTGGGTCTGCTTGTTTGCGGCACGAAGATCAGACTCAGGTGCGCTGCACGAGAAAAAGGCGGATTATTTTCTTATGTTTTTTAATTATATGAATGAATTTTTTAGGGAAATTCAATTTAAATCTTAAAAGATTCCTAATTCCAGAAATATATAAGAATTGTTTTTTATTTAGGTTTTTAGTTAGTTATTTAGGTTTTGTATTTGTGATTTTAAAGATGTAAAATGTATATTTATATTTATCAAAATCGTCAATTTCCTTTCTTTAACATTATGAAGATAATGAAATAATATATAAATATTATAAACTACAATTTTTGACTAGCTTACTTTATAAATTGTTATTGAATTTTTAATTTGGCCAAGTTGACTTCTAAATAATCAATTTTTAAACTGGCTTATAAGTGGACATCAGGAATATCGTTATACTATACTATACATGTAGAGGGCAATACTTCCATCGCCGCTTGGGAAACTTAAAGAATTTAATCATCGATTTTTCCACGTGTTTGTCCGTCTGGTCGATCTGTTTTTAGCACTCGGCATAGTTTTCGGTTTCAATTTCAGCCCGGCTTTTGGATGGGGTTCCAGCATGCGGCTTCAGTTTTGTTGTTTTGCAATTCAATTTGACGACATCAAAGGCGTATTTATCGCTTCCGCTGGCGATCGTTAGTTGGATCGGAGGTCCGTCGCATATTTGATCGATGATCAAGTCCATCTGTATGCTACGTTACAAAGAAGGCGGCGGGGCTTCGGCTGCTTCGGTTTCTGTTTCGACAAATGTATCTGTATCTGTGGCCCGCTGCTCTAGTTGCATCTGTACGAGTGGCTTGTGTAATTGTGCCTCTGCCTCTGCCTCTGCCCTGCCTCTGCATCGTGCAGCTACCAATTCGGCTTCTGTTTTGAGTTTTGATCCCTGGGTTGTGGGGGCTGGGGTGCGGGGTGCTGGGTGCGGGCTAGTGGGTGCCACATTCTGGGTTCCGATCGCCAGTCTTGTGGTCTTTCTTGCAGCTCTGCTGGTTTAGTTCATTACCGACGCTTGAGACTCCGACTTGTGATACACGAAGAAAATAAAGGGCGGTCGGGAAAATTGTGCGATTCGGAAGACCCAAGTTCCCCGAACGATTCAAATTAGTGTTTTTTTTGTGTGAAACATTGTGGCAGGAGCAGCATGAAATGTGCGCAACTCAAGTGATTTTGTTTCCATATCAAAAATTAACTGTAGAGCTAAGAGATAATCTAAAGTATACTAATATGCGTACATCTTGGCTTCCTGATCCCCGATCGGGGATCACAGAAAAAGCTGTGCATAATTAACCGCAGAAAATATCAGTAAAAAGGATTTCAAAAAAAAAAAAAATTAAAAAGGAAACGAATTTTTTTTAAACATTTTTTTAAAAAATCTTGTAAAACTCTGTTGCTTCGATTTCCTCTACTAAGTTATTGAATAATTATGAGTTATAGAAAGCTTCCTTGAAAATTAAAAATATTGCCATAACAAAATAATATAATAATTTAAAAGAGTATAACAAAATAAAATAATAAAACAATATAAGACAAAAAAGTAATATAATAAAATTACTAAATAATATAATTGGTATAGTAAATGCTACAGAAAATCTATTATGTTATCCCTGCAGCTTTCCAAAAAGTTACAATAAAATAAAATATTTTAATTTAAACTCCACATATCCTGCACTTTTTAGGCCTTTTATTTGCTACCACAACCACTACTCTGTTAACCTACTTCGAAATAAATTCTTTAACGTCAGTTGAGCCGAAGTGCGATATTTGGCGCCATCTGTTGTTAAAATCATAGGTTAAGCCATATTTATCGCATACCACGTTAGGTGGTACAAGGGTTTCAGAGTACAAGGGTTTCCAGGTCTCGTGGAACGGAATTCTCCACGTAAGATATTGTTTTCCCCAAGTGTAGGATACATAAATATTAGTTTGGTTATTATTACCAGCAAAAGTAAGCCCTATATCAAATAAGTAATACAAATACTTGAGGAATCTTAAATAATTCATAAAAACAAAAACGGAAATAATTTGCCTATTACATCGGAATGTCTTGCAGATATAAATTGCACTCAGCCCGCCATCGATGACTTCCCCAGAGACCTTTTCTCGGAGGCACAAAGACAGTCCGGTGCTGTTGTACTTCATGTTATAGCCAGTTTATATTTATTCGTAGCCTTAGCCGTAGTGTGTGATGAGTACTTTGTGCCAGCAGTTGAGAAAATATGTGCAGGTGCGTAGCTTGGGCGTAGTTTTTCCTTTTGTCTTAAAAAACGTAATGCTCATTTAAAATACTTCATACTTAATTAGCTCTCAACATGTCCAACGATGTGGCGGGGGCGACGTTCATGGCCGCGGCCACCTCCGCTCCAGAGCTCTTTGTCAACGTGATAGGCACCTTCATCACGGAGGGCGATATCGGAGTGGGTACGATTGTCGGATCGGCGGTATTTAACATCCTGGCTGTGGCCGCCTGTTGCGGTATTGGAGCTGGCATGGCAAGTCCTGACCCCTTTGGATCCCCAAGACCTCTAATCGCCTAATACTCGCCTGATATCCAAAATCTAGACTATACCCCTGGACTGGTGGCCACTGACGCGGGACAGCATCGCCTATGGAGTCACAGTGGCCATACTCATCTGTGTAATGCACGACGAACGCGTCGAGTGGTACGAGGCCCTCATCCTGGTATCCCTGTACGCCGTCTACCTGGCGGTCATGTATTTCGACAAAACGTTCCAAAAGTGCGCGAAAGGTAAGTGAGTGATATTTGTAGAGATAGCTCTATCCATATATTTGATGTGGAGATCACTCCGTCATGTGGATGAATGACGTATGAAATTCTGGGTAGACAAGTTCAGATCTGAGATATTAACTTACTTAGTACTTAGAGCTTTAACCAGATCTATCATAGCAAGTATAATTCGGAAACAGGTTCTCTGAGATATTTTGGAATTTGAAGTACCTTCCTCTATATCATTCGGGGCTTGAGCGTTCTATTCCTCTCTGGATCGTGATATTGCCATTGCCAAGACTATAACGTGTCTAACTGCCCTTTATTAGGACATTATTTATAAAAACATAAAGACGAAATCGATATAACTTTGATGTTTACGAACTATACTGATAATAATAATAATAATATTATTAAGATTATTATACTTATATATAACAAAGGGTTCTACACTTACATCAATCAATGATTTATAAGGATACCACAATAGCTTTTTAATCAATAAATTTAAGTCATCTTATATTTTACTTATAAGTGTAAAAATCTACATCACATATAAAATATGATGATGAATATTTAATAATCAATTAAACAGATAACTTTTTTTGGTATCCTTATACTCTTTGGGTTGCTCCTACATACCACGTGCCACAGGGAGAAGACTGCATGCAGATAGCTTTAAAACTGAGTTGAGCCTAAAGAATCGGATAATACTTTTCCTAACTGAACAATCAGTGTAACATCTCTGCAGTTATATGGCATTTGCAGCAGTAACAGATAGACCTATAACATGAATAAATATACGCAATATCTTACTCTCATTATACTACACAGGTGGCGTTAAGCAAGCGCGTTCGCGCAGCCGCTCCTCCAACTGCAGCATACACACAAAAAGCAGCAATGAGAAGGAACCAGGTACAAGAGTCAGCCATTCCAGACCCATTACTAATCTCAAACCTCTGACCTCTGAAAGCATTTGTAACCAGATTAATAGCTAATTTTCGTGTTCTACTATAACCCATTCCCGCAGAGCTCGTAGAGAATCGCATTTGCCAGAATATGGCCAACATCCAGCTAAATGGTGGACTCAACAATGACCAGGCCAAGGCCGCAGGCACCACCGGGTGTGTCACAACTACAACTTCGATCACTGGCTCAACCATGACCACAACGATGAGCACCCCCGCCAGTCACAGTGTCGTGGCAGGAGCAGGAGGAGGAGGAGGGGCAGGGGTTATTGCGCAGATGGCACCACAGGATAATTGTGATGCAGAAGCCCAGCAGGCGGTGGCTGCCGTTGCGGAGGATAGCGAGGAGGAGGGCTACTCCCTGCTCACTTACCCGAAGGGTAAGAGCTGCTTTGCGCAGTTCACCTGGCTCATCATTTGGCCCATCCACCTACTGTTCCGAATCGCCATTCCCGACTGCAAGAAAGCCAAGAACAACAAGATTTTCCCACTCACATTCATCATGTGCATCGTCTGGATCGGATCGCTGTCCTATGTGGTTGCGTGGATGATAACCATCATTGGTGAGTTATGAACTATGTGCTAAACTATCTTTAGTCAATAATTAGCTGTTGCCTTTAAATCGGGTGTAGGCTTACCCAAGATGTAACTGGAATGAATGCATATAATGGTATATAGTAGAGATAATAGAGATATATATATAGTCGCAGAAATAATATCTACTATAAGTGCAGATGAACCTTCTACGATTTTTAGAAAATCATTTGGTTTACTAGGAATACAGATACAAACAAGAGGAAATGCTATAGTCGAGAGCCGCGACTATAAGATACCCGTTACTATTTTACACAATTTTAAAGTCTTCCTTTTGCTAGTGGAAATTCACAAGGCGCCACCTATTGTCAGAGGCCTTATAACCTTAATTTCTTCATAAATAGCGAAATAATGTTCCGATTTAAAAAATCTTTGGCAAATCTATAGACATTAACAGAAATAAGTTATACAAGGACAAACGAAGGCATTCATAATAATTATATAGACGCCACAGTTTTTCGCGGGTGACAAGTTGCAGTGGCATCTCTTAAATACGTATTCTTAAGCATCTTTTTAAGTCTTATAGTTTCCGAGATATTTGAATTGGTTTTACGGGTTTTGTGGGTGTTAGGGTAGGCATAGCTTGATTGCATTTGCATTTGGAGCATCATAAAAACCTACAAACCTACTCCGAACTTTCTATCTCTTATAGTTACCGAGATATCAGACTTTCTAGAAAATGCGAAAACCGTCTTTTGAGCCTTGTGGGCGTATAGGTGGGTGTGGCCCGGATAGTATTACTACTTTAAGATGCGCTGGCGTCTAAAGATTATACATTCTGAGTTTCAACTTTCCAGCTCTAATAGTTCTCGGGACCTCAAGAATCTTCATGCTTAATCTCAACTTTGTATCTGCTATAGTTCATACGGACGGACGGACGGACAGACGGACATGGCTCAATCGTCTTCGCTATTCATCCTGATCAAGAATATATAAAATTTATAGGGTCGGAAACGCTTCCTTCTACCTGTTACATACTTTTCAACGAATCTAGTATACCCTTTTACTCTATGAGTAACGTGTATAAAAAGGGGAAAAGCTATAGTCGAGTGCCGCGACTATAAGATAGCCGATACTGTTTTACACAATTTTAAAATATTAATTTTGCTAGTGAAAATTCACAAGGCGCCACCTATTTTCAGAGAAAGTATGTTGAGTACTTGATAGTGACCATATTAGGCCTTATAACTTAATTTCTTCATAAATAGCGAAATAATGTTCCGATTTGAAAGTTCTTTGGTAATTCAATAGAGATTGACAGAAATAAGTTATACAAGGTCAAACGAAGGCATTCTTAATAATATTATAGGCGCCACAGTGCGCTTGGTGGGCGTATAGGTGGGTGTGACCGGATAATAAAGATTATACATACTGAATTTCAATTTTATAGCTCGAATAGTTCCTGAGATGTAAGCGAATTTAATTTTTCGATTTGTGGGCGTTAGAGTGGGCGTGGCAGGATGCTGTAATAAACTTCCGCTGAGTAGGGCCATGGCTCAATCGACTTCGCTATTGATCCTGATCAATAATATATATACTTTATAGGGTCGGAAACGCTTCCTTCTACCTGATACATACTTTTCAACGAATCTAGTACACCCTTTTACTCTATATTATAAAAAGTTGAGCATTGTAAGTGCATTTCCATTTTTGCTAAATATTAAATGTAACAAAAAAATTTAACCTAGAATCCGATAATCGATAATTAGTATATTATCCATAAAAGTTAAAACAAATTCTAATTTCTCTATAAAATACGCTAGCATAAACTATGATTATCATTAGGCTTTTCTTTTAATGGTTTTTTTCATAAACATTTTTCCTTTGCTTGATTTTTAAAATGATTACACCCTGCGATTTTCATCTGTATCCAAAACCTTAAACAAACGCGATTAATATCTTCTACAGAAAATCTTCTTATGCAATTGTCTCATCTATATCCTTCTAAGCAGCGTTGTAGATAACGATAAAACCGATTTAAAAACATGTAGATTTAAATAAAAACATATAGTTCCATAGTTTGAAGTAAAAGAGCGTTAAGGTAGTTGTGGTAGTTAAAACTAAAGTCTTCATGCTTAGCCCTAACTTTGTAGCTCTCATTTCCATGTTCATGCGAATAGTTAGACAGTCACATTCTTAAAATTGTTACTTACGTTTCGACTAATAAATCGTAAAGGCCGAAAGAGCTTTTTCATGGCATGACTTTTGTTTATTCTTAGTACATGTCCTCTTTTCACAGGTGATACACTTAAGATACCTGACTCGGTGATGGGAATTACGTTTCTGGCGGCTGGAACCAGTGTTCCTGAAGCGGTGTCAAGCGTGATTGTTGCGAAGCGAGGTGAGTAGCTGATCGTCTCTGTTTGGCAGTGTATGGAATATCCAAGTATCTGCCGTAGGTCATGGATCGATGGGGATCTGTAACTCAATCGGGTCGAACACCTTTGACATCCTGCTGTGCCTGGGAGTGCCCTGGCTGATCAAGGCTGTCTTCTTTCCAATCCAACCGGGCCAGAACTACGTGGCCATAAACTCGGCCGGCCTGGAGTACTCAGCGATTACTTTGCTGTCAACGTTGTTCCTGCTCTATCTGACCTTCTCCACGAACAAGTTCAAGCTGGACAAGAAGGTGGGCACCGCCTGCTTGGTGATGTATCTGGTCTTCATGGTGTTCGCCTCCCTCATCGAACTCAATGTGTTCTTCCGCGTCAACCTGCCCACCTGCGGTCGATCGTGAGATCTGTATCCGATAGATGTGCGATATACGAAGGACGACTAGTGGAGTATAATGTGTAGATGAACGATGTACCATTTTGGATGAATGGATGGAGTCCAGAGATGCCAGCCAATAAGTGCTGGTCCCATTTTCTGATTTCGTTTCCGGTATCTGTCTGGAATCAACCCTGAGTGCAGTCGTTTAATTAATTAATATGGATTTTCTGTTCAATTCTATCTATCTTGATAGTTGAGTTACGTTATACGTTATGCTGTTATTGTAATAATACTTTTTTTTTATTATTATTATTATTAAAGTAGACTCTTTGAAGACCTTCGGTTGAACCCAACAGACAAATTTAAATAGATGAGAAAAAACGGAGCGAAGCGAATGGAGAGACGCGAACAAAACCAAAAATTCAATAATGTATTTATATGATTAATATATATGAGATTTAACAAAGTGTTTTCTGATGGTCAATATTATTGATGGTGTCAATGTGGGCGATATTCCCTATTTTGAGTGTGCTGAGTACAAAACAAGAAGAAACGGTACAGTGGAGTGCCACGGCTATAAGATACCCGTTACTGCTTTCTGTAATTTTAAAGTTTTCATTTTGCTAGTGGAAATTCACAAAGCGCCACCTATTGTCGGAGAAAGCATGTTGAGTAACTGATAGTGACGTCACTGCCCATGTGAGGGCTTATAACACACATTTCTTCATAAAAAGCGAAATAATGTTCCAATTTGAAAAATCTTTGGTAAATCGATAGATATTGACAAAAATATGTTATAAAGGGTCAAACGAAGGTAATTTTTTCGCGGTTTGTGGATGTCAGAGTGGGCGTGGCCGGAGGAAATTCCGTGTCGATTTGCAGTGGCATCTCTTAAATACGTATTAGCAATTTTGGTTTTCCGGATTTTGTGGGCGTTAGGGTGGGCGTGGCTAGATGGGAAAAAAACAGTTCGCATTTGGGGCATCATAAAAACCTACATGCATAATCCGAACTTTCTATCACTTATTGTTACCGAGATATCAAATCGAATCTGAATCTATTGCCTTGCCACCATTGCTTCAGCCGAAGGAGATCGCGAAAGTCATTGGGGAACTGAAACAGAAAAAGGCCCCTAGCGGTGACCAAATAACCCCAAAAATGATAACCGAACTTCCAAACTCTGCCATTGAGGTTATTTGTAAGTTCTTCAATGGGATCATGGGGTCATTATGATACCGAAGCCCGGAAAAGACCATACAATTTCGTCCTACAGACCAATCAGTCTATTATCGTGTTTGTCTAACCCGCATAATACCATATCTAGAAGCACACAATGTTATCCCTGCTCATCAATTTGGCTTCCGTCAAAACCATGGAACAATTGAACAAACAAACAGAATAACAACAGAAATTCGCACAGCCTTTGAGCATCGGGAATACTGCAGCGCAATATTCCTCGACGTATGTCAAGCCTTTGATCGAGTATGGCTAGGTGGTCTCATGCACAAAATTAAAACACACTTGCCTGGATACACTCATAAGCTTCTTGAGTCGTATCTATACAACAGAACCTTTGCAGTAAGGTGCAACACAGCAACATCCGGCGACTACATTATCAAAGCTGGAGTCCTGCTAGGAAGCGCGATAGGGCCTACTCTGTTCCTCCTTTACACATCGGATATTCCTACGAATGAGCAGCTAACAACATCTACGTTCGCTGACGACACCGCAATTCTAATTCGCTCGGGATGCCCAGGCCGAGCCACCACACAGCTAGCAAATCACCTCCTCGTAGTAGAGAGGGCTATCTGATTGGCGGATGAAAATAAATGAACAAAAATGTAAACACATAACGTTTACCCTCAACAGGCAAACTTGCCCTCCACTATCATTGAATAACACGCAGATTCCCCAAGTTAACGATGTAACGTACCTCGGCGTCCAGAGACGACTAACCTGGAGAAGACACATCCAATGCAAAAAAGAACATCTAAAACTGAAAGCCAACAGCCTCCACTGGATTCTTAACGCCCGTTCACCCCTGCATCTGGAATACAAGGTCTTGCTTTACAACTCTATCCTTAAGCCCATCTGGACATATGGCTCCCAGCTATGGGGGAACGCCAGTAGAACGAACATAGACATTATACAGCGCGTCCAATCAAAAACCCTCCGAATTATCACTGGGGCACGATGGTATATTCGCAATCTAAACATCCACAGGGACCTAGGCATTCTTACCGTAAAAGATGAAAAAGACAAACAACAAGAGGAAACGCTAGTCGAGTGCCGCGACTATAAGATACCCGTTACTGTCTTACACAATTTTAAAATGTTCATTTTGCCAGTGGAAATTCACAAGGCGCCACCTATTGTCAGAGGAAGTATGTTGAAAATGCTTATAGTGACGTCACTGCCCATGTGAGGTCTTATAACCTTAATTTCTTTATAAATAGCGAAATAATGTTCTGATTTGAAAAATCTTTGGTAAATCGATAGATATTAACAGAAATAAGTTATACAAGGTCAAACGAAGGCATTCATAATAATATTATAGACGCCACAGTTTTCCGCGGTTTGTGGGCGTAAGAGTGGGCGTGGCCGGATGCAACTTTGTGGCAAGTTGCAGAGGCATCTCTTAAATACGTGTTCCTAAGTATCTTATAGCTTTCGAGAGTTTTGCATTTTTGGTTTTTCGGGTTTTGTGGGCGTTAGAGTGGGCGTGGCTTGATCGGAAAAAACAATTTGCCTTGGGAGCATTATAAAAACCTACTTGCTTGATCCGAACTTTCTATCTCTTATAGTTACCGAGATATCAACTTTTCTAGAAAATCCGAAAACCGTCTTTTGAGCCTTGTGGGCGTATGGGTGGGTGTGGCCGGATAGAAGAACCACTATAAGATGCGCTGGCATCTAAAGATTATACTTTCTGAATTTCAACTTTCTAGCTCCAATAGTTCCTGAGATGTCACCAATTTTAGTTTTTTGCGATTTGTGGGCGTTAGAGTGGGCGCTGAAATAAACTTGCGCTGTCCCGGGATCTTAAGAACCTTCATGGTTAATCTCAACTTTGTATCTGTTGTAGTTCCTGAGATCTCAGCGTTCATACGGACGGACGGCCGGACAGTCGGACATGGCTCAATCGACTTCGCTATTGATCCTGATCAAGAATATATATACTTTATAAGGTCGCAAACGCTTCCTTCTATCTGTTACATACTTTTCAACGAATCTAGTATACTCTAGTTTACTCTACGAGTAACGGGTATAAAAAGCGTCCTACAATGAAAAGCTCTCTATGCACCCCAATCGCCTCGCAAGAAGCCTGACTTGGGTTCCCAGCCGATCCCTTCTACAACGCAACGACCTGCAAAGCCAGCAATAACTTTCGAGCCCTCTATAGCACATTATCAGTCATATGACTGTTAGTTAGATTAATTAGGTTTAAGATTTGATACACTTATTGTTAGTCTCCAAAAGGAGAATATTCAATAAAATAAATAGCAAAGTAAAACAAAAAAAAATCAGATTCTTGAGGTTCCTACGCAGCACAAGTTTATTTCTGCATCCTGTCACGCCCAATCCAACGCCCACAAATCCTAAAAAACTAAAACCGCTGAAATATCAAAGACTATTAGAGCTAAAAAATTGGCATTAAGTAACTATAATCTTTAAATGCTAGCGCATTTTATAGTGGTACTATTATCCGGCCACACCCACATATACGCCCACCAAGCTGAAAAGACCGTTTTCGCATTTTTTAGAAAAGTTGATCACTGTAACTATAAGTTATAGAAAGTTCGGATTAAGCATGTAGGTTTTTATGATGATCCCACTGCGAATTGCTTAAGAATACGTATTTCAGAGGTGCCACTGCAACTTTCCGTAAGTTTTCATCTGGCCACGCCCACTCTAACGCCCGCAAACCGCGGAAAACTGTGGCGTATAGTATTATTACTAATTCGTTTCATTCGTTTGACCTTGTGTAATTTATATCTGTCAATCTCTATCGATTTACCAAAGAACTTTCAAATCGGAAAATTATTTCGCTAATTATGAAGAAATTTAGGTTATAAGGCCTCATATGGGCCTCACTATTAGTCACTCAACATGCTTTCTCTAGCAATATGAATATTTTAAATATTTTAAAATACTTATCAGTAACATGGCACCGAGTGGGCTTTTCCGCGTTTAGTCACTTAAAATCCAAATGAGAGAGAGTTTATAACAAAACTTAACATCTGGACCAAAAAACCTTTCGTGATCGCTTACTACAATGCATCATCATTAAATCGCTGTATATGCTGTCTTGGAAAGGATATCACATTTGGAAATTCCGAAAACGAACATCTATGCAAGGAAAGGGTCCGTTTCATTCCATTCGACGGGAATGGCCCCATTGGGTTATGAAACAAAACAGCTTCAAACTAGATTGTTTTTACATTTTTTGAGGTCTCCAACCATTTTCGATCAGAGGAGACATTGCCTAACTGATCAAGTCATATAATTCTTCTACATATTTATTTTATTGGATAATTTTAATGTGAAATTGTTTTGCTTATTTTTTTTGGTATCTAAACCACCATGTTCTTTGACTGGGACTCCACGGACTTCAGACAGAGCGATGAAGGTAAGCACATTGCATCTTAATGGTGGGTAAAACTAATGTCGCACCTTCTAGAAATGGGAAACATTGGGAGTGTTTATTTATTTAATTATTTTTTTTACTACTACTTTATTTTTCCGCTGGTTGCTTATTTTTTAGAAATAAAAAGATTGTGTCCACTGGCTTATCAAATCTAACTTACTTAATCGCCTAATATTCTACAGATACTCAAAATAGATATAGGCAAATAAGTTTTTACAGGATGACATTGAATTTTATATAAATAAGTTCAGCTTAAGAGCCAAGTAATTAAGTGTTTGCTGAAAGGTTCGTTACATATTATTCGGCCTACTAATACTGCATAAGAAATATCTTCTTAAACAACTGACAGACTGACAGTATAAGAGTATAATCCATGATTTTACCTCATAAAATAAAAAAAGCATATTTAAAGAAACTAACGCTGTAGTTCTTTCCATGGTCAATTTTCGACAGGATTTCATAAAACAAATTTGAAGGACTTGTTCTAGTGAGTTCGTAAATGAACACATAAAAATTATAGCATTATAAATTATATAATTATGTGGCGGAGTTTTCATGCAACAAATGAAACGATTTTAACGTGCAAATTAAGTCGGTCTTTTCTTCTGAAATTTTCATATATTTTAGCCATCGATCCAATTCTGGATGTGGCTGAACATGTAGAGTACTGCATGGCACCCTCAAACGCTCCTCTTTGACAGAATACATCGAATCAGCATTCTCCTTTATTATAAATGAATTTAGTACATTAAGTTTCAGGGAACTAAATCCGGGTCTAATTACATAAATTGTATGTGAAGAACAACTTTTGGACTCTAATACTTTTTTAAATTTAGGCAATGCAATTAGCCATGGTTTAACGTGAAAAATAGGAATCCAGTTTTGAGTTCAATACCAAATATTGATTCATTTTTAAAACAAATACTTCATCATATAAAGCTTTCAGGAACCACAAAAACTTGTTCTGTTAAGTTAATAAAATCTATAAAGGCTGTACACTAGTGCACTGGTTGTATATAATGTGTATTATGTGGATAACAAATAATTGATATAAATACCAGGTTATAGTACATTTCAGGCCTAGCTACTTATCAATTCTACAAAAATAGGGCCTAATTGCAATATTCTGTTTTTGCCCGTTTGCCTCCTTAAATATATCTTAAATAAAACTTAATTTAAAAAAATTACATACCTAAATAATTCACATAGGTCGAACCTTGAGCTATACTTTAAGATTCGCAAAAGAAAAATCAATGGTAAGCATAAGGGATTTTCTGTTTTTCTCTGTTCAGTCGAGTGCCGCGACTATAAAATACCCGTTACTGTTTTACATCATTTTAAAATATTCATTTTGCTTGTCGAAATTCCCAAAGCGCCACCTATTGTCGGAGAAAGCATGTTGAGTAACTGATAGTGACGTCACTGCCCATGTGAGGCCTTATAACCTAAATTTCTTCATAAGTAGCGAAATAATGTTCCGATTTGAAATTTCTTTGGTAAATCGATAGATATTGACAAAAATATGTTATAAATAAATAAATTACACAAGGTCAAACGAATGCATTCGTAATAATACTATACGCCACAGTTTTCCGCGGTTTGCGGGCATTAGAGTGGGCGTGCCCAGATGAAAACTAAGGGAAAGTTGCAGTGGCATCTCTAAAATACGTATTCTTAAGCACAACTTTGTAGCTCTTATAGTTTCCGAGATTTTTGCATTTTTTTTAGAGAGGGCGTTACTTGACGGGAAAAAACCATTCGCATTGTGAGCATCATAAAAACCTACATGCTTAATCCGAACTTTCTATAACTTATAGTTACAGTGATCAACTTTTCTAAAAAATGCGAAAGCCGTCTTTTCAGATTGGTGGGCGTATGGGTGGGTGTGGCCGGATAATAGTATCACTATAAGATGCACTAACATATAAAGATTATACATACTGAATTTGAACTTTCTAGCTCTAATAGTTCCTGAGATTTCAGCGATTTTAGTTTTCCGTGATTTGTGTGCGTTAAAGTGGGCGTGGCAGGATGCGGACAGACGAACAGACGGACAGACAGACGGACATGGCTCAACCGACTTCGCTAATGATCCTGATCAAAAATATATATGTACTTTATAGGATCGGATACGCTTCCTTCTAAATGTTACATACTTTTCAACGAATCTAGTATATCCTTTTACTCTACGAGTAACGGGTATAAAAATCCTTGATAAGACATGACCCCTGGGAACGAAATTAACATAGGAACTAAGCGAAAACTGTAGTTGGGGCCGAATTTAAATTCTAACATGAAGGTCAATTCCTAGAAAATCCGTTACCCAAAAATAAGAGGGATAAATGTAAATTAAATAAATTAATTTAGTAGTCATACTTGCGAACGGTTTGGGATTGTGTCATTAGTATACAACTTATATATATATATATATATATATATATATATAATATATAGTTTTATTGGTTAAAATCTGTTTTGGGTTTTTAAAAAATCGGGATTTTTGAGATAAGTTTTTGATTGTTTTAAACAGATCGAGATAAAACCCTTTTTTTCTACAATCTATTTAAAAGCGCCTGAGCTTAGCGGAATCACAGATAGCAGACATACAAGTGTTTACTACGCCTGGTCATGTCAAATTTTTTAATAAAATTTGATTTTTCAACAGACAAAACTGTCTTAACATTAAAGCAAAAATTGACGACGGCAAGTCAGCTAAAAAAAAACAACTAAAAGCTACGTTTTATTGAATTTTACGAATGGTATGCATCACCAAGTGAAGTTAGTGTCGAATATTCAATATCAAAGGAACGAACTAGATGCCGTTCATTAGGATTCTAAATAAAAAAGGCCTACACATAAATTATATATACTTCATTTTGTTTTTTCAGAACGGAACCTCTTCGCGTTTTCAGACAAAAGTGATTTGCGCGATGACATTGATTTACTTAATTGCACTCCGCCGGCCATCGTGGATTTCCCAAACTTTATGCGACAGAAAAGTTGGATAGCAGCCACAGTTTGCTTTTTCCTCAGCATGTACCTGTTCGTCGTCCTGGCTATTGTTTGTGATGATTACCTAGTGCCGGCCATGGAGCGACTGTGCTACAGTATGTGTTAATGTTTTCTCATTTAAAAGGCAATCGGAAATATATATGTACTAGCCCTATCAGTGTAATACAGAATGCACACTCAATACCGTAATGGTCCTAGCAGTGTGTAATCCGTCCTTCGGTCTGTCTGTATGAACGCGGAAATCTGAAGAACTAAAAGGCAAAGATAGTTCGGACTTAGATTAGAAATACGCAGGATTATTTCTAAAGAAGCGTTTTCAATCCACTTCTTAATCCTATATGCGTTTGTCTGTATGTAGACCAAGATATCTGAAACTATAAAAGCATGCAGAGTCTTGGTCTACCTAAAGTAGTATAGCAAGAGATGGCTAAAGCGTTTTTAAGCAGTCTTGTACTCAAACCGCAAAGCTTTTCAATTAAACTATTATTTAATAATAATCTGTTTTCATAGCTCTGCGAATGACATATGATGTGGCCGGAGCCACTTTCCTGGCGGCTGCCACTTCGGCCCCGGAACTCTTCGTTAACTTTGTAGCAACCTTTATCACTCACGGCGACATTGGACTGGGCACGATCGTGGGATCCTCGGTGTTCAACATCTTGGTAATCGCAGGCGTTTGCGGCATACTTACTCCACCGGTGCGGTCTGATCATAAATTCAGACTGAATAGTGTCTTTTATTGATATTCTTTTGCTTTTTCTTACAGAGTAAACTGGATTGGTGGCCGGTTACAAGGGATACAGTTTGGTACCTCCTGGCCGTAGCGACTGTCACAACTGTGGTGTGGGATTCGCTTGTCACGTGGTATGAGGCTACTGTCCTTATCCTACTGTACTTGCTTTATATCATTCAACTAGTCCTGGACCGCCGAATCCAGAACTGTGTTCGCAGTAAGAATAGCATTTAAACATGTTTTTTTTCAGGTCTCTTTCAAAAGTCGGTTATGCCCACTCTAACGCCCACTAACCGCTAAAGTATGTGGAGCACAAAATATTAAAATTAAACTTCTGGTCTGATTTTTGTTAATATCTAAAGATCAAGCTTTTTTCGATTCATTAGTGATCTTACTGCACATAAAAATTGGTTAACTATTTTATAGATTTAAACGTCTTACAACAGGCATTGGCTTATCTTGAGTAAAAATATTGAAAAGTTCTGATTAATAATCGAAAAAGTTACAAAATCTAAAAAAAAACTTCTGCAGAGGAGCATACGGAATCCGAACTAATAAGCGAGGATCCAATGACGCGTGAAGAAGAACCGCTACAGGGATTTCGGGATCACGTGTGCACGAAACCGGAGCAGGGCTCTAATTGTTGCCGTTGGGCTTGGTGGATCATCAAGTATCCGGCGGAACTGATGCTTGCCTGCACTGTTCCCAGTGTTAGAACAATTTTCTTCCTCTCCATGGTACTGGCCATCCTTTGGATTTCCGCGATATCATATCTGCTCGCCTGGTTCCTCACCGTTGTGGGCTACAACCTCCACGTTCCGGACTCAATTATGGGGCTCACTGTTCTGGCCGCCGGCACCAGTGTGCCAGAGGTGGCTTCCTCGTATATCGTGTCCAGAAAGGGTGAGTATATCCAAATATATCACTCATTGGTAGGCTTTCGATAGAAAGCAAAATATACCGAGGTTTCTTTGTCATACCCGTTGCCCAAAAAGTAACATTAATCTGATCCCATGTCTTGAAAAATCTAATCAAATGATTTTATTAATATTAAAATAGGAATATTAGTGTAGTGGAGTCCCGCAACCACCAGAATACAGTGATACGGATGCTGTAACAACCTTCAGCTGAGCTGGCATTTCAAAAACATGCAAGCTTAGTCATATAATTAAGTTTTTTGAGTTTTGTGGACACTAGATTGAGCGTAGCTTAAACAAACTTCCATTACACAGGCATTTCTAGATTATGTATGCTTAATTCCAACTTTCTATCTCTCGTCCATCTGCCCGATCGTCCATCCATCCGTCTGTCCGTATGAACGCTGAGATCTCAGGAACTATAAGCGATACAAAGTTGAGATTAATCAGATTCTTGAGGTTCCTACGCAGCACAAGTTTATTTCAGCATCCTGTCACGCCCACTCCAACGCCCACAAATCCTATAAAACTAAAACCGCTGAAATATAAAAAAAATTAGAGCTAGAAAATTGGCAGTGAGTAAGTATAATCTTGAGATGCTAGCGCATCTTAAGGTGGAGCCACTATCCGGCTACGACCACTCTTACGCTCACCAAGATCGAAAGACGGTTATCGCTTTTTGTAAAATAGGTAGTTGGGATAAAGCATGTAGTTTTTATTGATGCCCCAAACGCGTATTATTTTTCTCCATTTGGCCACGTCCACTCTAGCTTCCACAGAACCCGGAAAACCAAAAACGCTAAAATTTCGGTAACTATTCGCATTAGACATGAATATTCTTGAGATGATACCGCAGCTCTAAGTGTTATTTTCATACAGCCACGCCCACTATAAAGCCCACAAGCCGCGGAAAATTTGTCGTCCGTAATATTAGTTTGGCTTTGTATAACATTTCTACTTTATATCTATCGATTTACTAAAGATTTTTCAAATCGGAATATTATTTCGCTATTTATTATGAAATGTAGGGTATAAGGCCTCACTTGGACAGTGACGTCACCATTATATTTGTAGTCAACATGGTTTTTCTGACAAGAGGTGGCGCTTTGTAAATTTCCACTAGAAAATGAATAGATTAAAATTGTATAAAACAGTAACGGGTATCTTAAAGCCGCGGCGCTCGTATATAGCGTTTATTCTTGTTTTACTATAACTTTTTCTATAAAGGGTCAATATTTGTCGAATCTTGATACACTTGCTCCCTACATATTGTTTTCAGTGTTGGATTTAGTAATTTACGTCAATAATATTTAATATAATAACATTTAATACCGTGCCCTTCTTTTCCATCGCAAACTAATTTCCAGCCCACTGTTTATACCCGTTACTCGAAGAGTAAAAGGGTATACTAGATTCGTTGAAAAGTATGTAACAGATAGAAGGAAGCGTTTCCGACCCTATAAAGTATATACATATTCTTGATCAGAATCAATAGCGAAGTCGATTGAGTCATGTCCGTCTGTCCGTCCGTCCGTCCGTCCGTCCGTATGAACGCTGAGATCTCAGGAACTATAGCAGATACAAAGTTAAGATTAAGCATGAAAATTCTTGGGGTCCCGGGACAGCGCAAGTTTATTTCCGCCTGCCACGCCCACTCTAACGCCCACAAATCGCGAAAACTAAAATCGCTGAAATCTCGGGAACTATTGGAGCTAGAAAGTTGAAATTCAGAAAGTATAATCTTTAGATGCCAGCGCATCTTATAGTGGTTCTACTATCCGGCCACACCCACCCATACTCCCACAAGCCCCAAAAAACGGTTTTCGGATTTTCTAGAAAAGCTGATATCTCGGTAACTGTAAGAGATAGAAAGTTCGGATTAAGCATGTAGGTTTTTATGATGCTCCCAATGCGAATTGTTTTTTTCAATCAAGCCACTCCCACTCTAACGCCCACAAAACCCGAAAAACCAAAAATACAAAAAACCTGGAAAACTATAAGAGCTACAAAATTTAGCTTAGGAACACGTATTTAAGAGATGCGTCTGCAACTTGCCACGAAGTTGCATCCGGCCACGCCCACTCTAACGCCCTCAAACCGCTGAAAACTGTGGCGTCTATAATATTATTTATTTACCAAAGATTTTTCAAATCGGAACATTATTTCGCTATTTATAAAGAAATTAAGGTTATAAGGCCTCACATGGGCAGTGACGTCACTATCAGTTACTCGACATGCTTTCTCCGACAATAGGTGGCGCCTTGTGAATTTTCACTACCAAAATTAATATTTTAAAATTGTGTAAAACAGTAACGGGAATTTTATAGTCGCGGCACTCGACTATAGCGTTTTCTCTTGTTTTCTCTTAGGTTATGGCTCAATGGCCATCTGTAATGCCATCGGATCGAACACATTCGACATTTGCGTATGCCTTGGTCTGCCCTGGCTAATTAAGACCTTGATTGACAACCGGCAGATCTGGATAGATTCTACGGCACTCCACTTAACCACGGCCATGCTAGTAATCACGGCGTTCTCACTCTATGTGAGTCTTCTGATCACTAGATTCGTGATTGGCAAGATCGTCGGATGGATCTGCCTGATATCCTACGTTGCATTCCTTATAGCAGCCTGTGCTATGGAGGTATTTCTGCACAAGGCAAACATGTGCGACATTGAGGGATCATAATGAACAGAAAACTATGAACGAACACGAAGTAAGACTCTTCCAAGCCTTTGTATTTCAAAACTAAATTATGTTGTCCAAAACCTATTTAAAATTATATAATGAGTTGAGTCAATTTTTGACATCATGGATCAAATACAATAAAAATAAATAATAAAGCTTTTTTTTACATTTTTACGTCTTTAGTGTTCATACGGATGGCTAAAACGACTTCTGTGCTGTAAGCAAATAGCCGAACTGAACCACTTAAACGGGAAGTTGCCAAGAAAACGAACACATTTATTTAAATTTTGCTGCATTCCATTAAGACAGTTACATTGACTACAGTCTTCATCATTCGCCATTGCAACAATGGTAAAAGTTTGCATGTATTGCAGCGCATTCAAATTGAAGAACGAAACGCCAGAGATGTGTTGCTCCAATGGAAAAGTAAAACTGCCAGAATTACATTCACAAAAAGAAACCTAAAAGAACGATATTAATTAGGGTAGAGAGGTGCGAAGAGAGGCGGGCGCTCTAGTTATAAATAAAATTAACTTAGTTAAATATTTTACGGAATTTATATCTGATGGAAGACTACTAAATCAATATAAAATCACATCAAATTTCATATAAGAGCCGTCGGAGTACTCATTCCTTATCTGTCAGACCAAGTAGTTCCATCAGCTCGTCCTTATCAACAGTGATGGTGCACTTGTCCTTCTTTTTTGGTTGGATAGCTTAGGGGACCTCTTAACCTTTTTTCCAGGTTTCTTATTCGTCTTGCCAGTAACTGAGGTCTTCTCCTTTTCTCGGTGAACCTCGTCCAGGAGGGCTTTCAACCTCGTTGGCACTTCAGTTCTGGGAGTTCTTGTCTTTAGGGAATTCGTACCTGCAGACTCTCGAGCCCGGGACTTGATAAGCTTCTTCATTTATTTTGCCATCTCCAAAGACTGCAGAGTCGACTGAGCTTTATACATCTGGGAAAGCAGTTTGGAATGCTTTGCCTGGAGCAGGTTTCGTCTTTTCCTTTGGGAGCACGAACTGCAAGGTGTACAGTCCTCGACATGAGATATCTAACGTTATCTTTCATGTTGTTCTGTGATAACATGCATTAATGAAGTTGAGAAGGAGCTACTTAGGACTTAATACTTACCTCGAAATTGGCTATCAACTCGCTTAAGTGGACTGGTTCTCTGTAAACTAAGATCAGCCGGCAGACCTCGGCCACTGGGACCTTAGTAGTATTTGTCACTACCCAAGGAATCATTCGCCTGGACATCTTCACTCTTAATTTCATTGATGGTCTCTGGGTCTTGCATCTTTTGCAGGTGGGCTCTTCTGGGAAAGAACTTAGAACTTCTCTATTTCTACTATATCGATAGGTGCTGATGATCTTGAAATACAATTTTTACAGTATTACTTCGAAATAAAAGTGTTAGTACAAAAGTTGTAGACAATAACAGTTTTTGATTGAAGAAAAAAATTTAAATAAAATATTTTTCCGAGTCGAGTTTTTCTCTAAAATTGAGGTGTATAAAATCCAGGCTGTTAATAGGCTTTTGCTTGTTTCAACGAGAAGTTTCGCCCGATTTTTTGCTAAGGTCACTGTGCTTTATGGTTTTGTTTCGGTTAAAAATCTTCTGAGATTCCTGCTATCATTTGGAATTAACAGCTAGAAAGTTGGGATTAAACATGCATACTCCAATTCTATTTAAATGTAAACAAGAGGAAACGCTATAGTCGAGTGCCGCGACTATAAGATACCCGTTACTGTTTTACAAAATTTTAAAATATTATTTTGCTAGTGGAAATTCACAAGGCGCCACCTATTGTCAGAGGAAGTATGTTGAGTAACTGATAGTGACATCATGTGAGCCCTTATAACCTTAATTTCTTTATAAATAGCGAAATAATGTTCCGATTTGAAAAATCTTTGGTAAATCGATAATGCAAGGTCAAACGAAGGCATTCATAATAATATTCTAGACGCCACAGTTTTCCGCGGTTTGTGGGTGTTAGAGTGGGCGTGGCCGGATGCAACTTCGTGCAAGTTGCAGAGGCATCTCTTAAATATGTGTTCCTAAGCAAAATTTTGTAGCTCTTATAGTTTTCCAGTATTTTTGGTTTTTTGTATTTTTGGTTTTTCGGGTTTTGTAGGCGTTAGAGTGGGCGTGGCTTGATTGGAAAAAAACAATTCGCATTGAGAGCATCATAAAAACCTACATGCTTAATCCGAACTTTCTATCTCTTATAGTTACTGAAATATCAGCTTTTCTAGAAAATCCGAAAACCGTTTTTTGAGGCTTGTGGGCGTATGGGTGGGTGTGGCCGGATAGTAGAAATGCGTTGATGCATCTAAAGATGCGCTGGTATCTAAAGATTATACTTTCTGAATTTCAACTTTCTAGCTCCAATAGTTCCCGAGATTTCAGCGATTTTAGTTTTTCGCGATTTGTGGGCGTTAGAGTGGGCGTGGCAGGCTGAAATAAACTTGCGCTGTCCCGGGACCTCAAGAACCTTCATGGTTAATCTCAACTTTGTATCTGCTATAGTTCCTGAGATCTCAGCGTTCATACGGACGGACGGACGGACAGACAGACGGACATGACTCAATCGACTTCGCTATTGATCCTGATCAAGAATATATATACTTTATAGGGTCGGAAACGCTTCCTTCTATCTGTTACATACTTTTCAACGAATCTAGTATACCCTTTTACTCTACGAGTAACGGGTATAAAAATAATAGTGTAAAGGTTTGAATCGAATTGTTATATTCCGTTTCATGGCCTCTTCTCTACCTAAGTGATAACTTGTACGATTTAAGATGACTTTCTAATTAGAGCTTTACTTTCTCTTTGACATATTGCCACGTGAAGATATCTTAAGAAGAACGTTGTTCTCGAAATCGATATGTTCTACGATCACAAAGAAGTAATTAACCCGAGGACAGTTGCTAAATCTATTTCGACGATCGCTGGACAACTTGGCACTTGATGACGTCAATGAGACCTGTTATGACATCAATCGTAGGCAGATACTTGAGTTTTACGCTATCATTGAAAATTCACCTCTGTATTTGATCTTTATATGATTGATAAGGCTTTTTTAATTTCTGTCCTCACTTAAGGCCGAATGCCTGAAGAGATATTTACGAGTATATAGTATGGAAGATAATGGTGCTTGTAGCAAGCATTCCACGGCTCTTTTGGATTACGAGGATCGCTTGCACTTTCCAATGTTGAAATATACATGTATAAAAAAAAACGATTTTCAGAGCATATTTTACCATATATCTACCAATTTTTACAAATCTACATTGATTAATGCTGTTACTAATTAAAGACTATAAAATAACATGTAGTAATGCCCAGGTCTTAAGGCTAATTTATGAAACGCGAATTGGCTTAATAAGAAACCAATACTTAAGAAAACTTTTTAGCGATTTACTAAATAAAAAATTACTCAGTGCTTGACAGTTGATAAGTTTTTCAGACCAAGTCGCCAATGAAGTGAGACCTTAATATATATATTATGGGTAGATTGACTCGTGTACTTGGCTTTGTTTACCTCTGCTTAAAATGGAAAGTAAAATGAATACATTAGGTTCAGGCCAGATTGATTGACATCAAGCTAAGCTAAATTCTAGTAAAACATGAAGAATTTTTCTTATATTGCATTCTTACGTTCAATATAAAACTTACTTTTATTATTTTTTTTTATTTTTCTTCATCTTTATTAAAAATAATAAGTTCCTTTTTGAACGATTAATCTTTCGAATGTTTTAGGCAACAAAAAGAACAACTTTAATTAGTCCCTGAGGATTATTTTCGCCGAAAAGTATGCATCAACATTTTAGTGATTTGTACGTAAAAATTGAACTTGATTTTTGAAATTCGTCCTACTCTTTACTAACACAAATACAAAAAAGGGTGCACTTATTTAGGGACGTTGTTGTGGTGGTTTGCAGCTGTGCGCGTAGAGAAAGAAAATTTTTTTAGTGGAATTGCTGCGCGAGCGCTTAAAGCTAATGGGAGAGCAAGCCCATATTCAGCGAGCATTTACAAAGCGTAGGTGTTGAGCAGCCTTGGAATAAACACACGAGAATAGTCTTACCAAATCTGCAAGCAAAGTGACTTATATTAGTAATCCGCTAAATACCTAATGGAATAGAAATGCAATGGTATTAACTTCTAGAGAGTATAAAGTTTTCAAAGTCGAAATTGTCTTGAAATTAATTATTAATTATTAATATACATATGCTCATATTTATATTAAGCAGACACGACATAAAAAAAGCGACTGAGCTGTTATTTTGCTCATAATAATTAAACATAATTTTTGAGACAAGCAAAGAATATAAATTTACTGTAGGATAAATAAGTTGTAAGTGCGCGGAAATTCATTAAAATTAAAGTTATAAAGTAAGTTTACTAAAGTAATGCGATTAGAACCAGTGTTCTTAAGAAAAAGGTATATTAAATGGTTGGTCATTATCTCGCCGAGATAACTGGAAATACGCAGAACAAAAATTTCAATCATGATGAGCATTATATCAGATCGAAAAATCATATTCGGGACGATCCAATAAGAATTGCAAACCGTCCTTCAGATAAATCGCAATCTGCGGATGCAGCAATGATTATAAAAAGGGCAATGTATTTCCAATTTCTCCTTATAGCCCCCTTGTTGAACCTATAAATACTGCTAAGTTTATTTAACAAAATCAATTTCTGCCTCAAAGCAATCAGGAACTGTTTAATTGATATCAAAATCGGCGCTTTTCTATGTATTGTTGACCAACTTAATAGAAGATAGAACGATATTAACTACCGTCATGACTATTAAGACTCTCAAATAAATACATATACGAGTATATTAGGTTGTCAAAAAGTATTGCGGTATTATTATCAAATTTCAATTGTTCATAATATATAATAATAATGCGATTCAAGTCAAATATGCGCCGTTTTGTTCGATGACGCGTTCCCAACGAGATGCCAACTTCATAATGCCCCTCTCATAGAAGCTCGCTTACCTATTGGCAAAAAACTCGGAGAGCCAATTTTCACAGGACTCTCTTGTGGCCAACTTCAGACTACCAAACGCGTTCGCCATGGACAGAAACAGGTGGTAATCACCTGGTGCACGATCCGGACTATACGGTGGATGCAAAAGAACCTCCCATCCGAGCTCCCGGAGCTTCTGGCGCGTCACTAAAGATGTGTGTGGCCAGGCGTTGTCCTGGTGGAAGACAATTCGGCCTCTGTTGATCAAAGATGGCCTCTTCTGTATGAGTGCTGTCACTATCGTTGTGCGGTGGAAATGGAAACTGTATCGGGTCCATAAACTGCACAAATTTTATTGGCGGCTTGAAATGCATTTTTGCCTTAACGTAGTAGTATTTTCTCTTTATTTTGCTCCATGATTGCGACGCTATAACTCACGAACGACTTAAAAGAAAAGACAAAAATCAAACACGTGTTAGCGCGTGAAATGAGCTTTCCAAAAATGTATAGTATGCGGCGAATAATACAAGAACTACGCGCTTTCAGCGCCAACTAGCGAAAATACCATAAGACTTTTTTGACAACCTAATATGAGAGGGGCATTATGAAGTTGGCATCTCGTTGGGAACGCGTCATCGAAAAAATCGGTGCATATTTGACTTGCATCGCATTATTGTAACCAATTTTATGAACAATTGAAAATTCAATAAAAATGCCGCAAGACTTTTTTGACGACCTAATATATATATTTTACCAACAGATGTCACTGTATATTGTTAAGGGTCGACCATGCATAAAGACATATTTCTGGTGGGCACTATTGGTCCTGGTCATGGATTCGCTTTCTTCTACCTATTACATACATTACAAGCAATATAGTATACTTTTTGACTTTATTTTATTGTTTTTGCCAAACAGTTATATCAAATTGCGGATTCTAGGAAATGGGATGTAATATTCTTTTTTTCAGCAAAAAGTTAACGATCATAATTTATTAAAGTTTTAGCAGGCACAGCTCTTAGTTTATGTTTAATTTCCCAACTACAATGAGAGCGATCCAGAGAAGCCCTGAAAATATTCGCCTACATTACCCAACCCATATAGAATATAAATCTATTGACTATATATATACATATACTCGTATATATAGTCAACAAGTTAACATTAAATTGTCCAAAACTCGTGTTTCAGGTACGTTAAGGTCGAGCAGCTGCCCGAATTGACTTATCGCCATTTGATTGATATACTCACTTACAGATAAACCGAACATATATAATCTTAGAGCCTTTAGCAGGTGCTACGCCACTGTTTGTCCGGAATCCATGACGTTAAAATATACATTTATAAATATATCGGACGTCATGACCACCAACAAAAAAGACCATCACAAAAAGTC